GTGTGTGTGCGTGTGCGTGTGCGTGCGTGCATGTGCGTATGTGCGTACGTGCGTACGTACGTGCGTGCATGCGTGCGTGGGTGGGTGGGTGTGTGTGCGTGCGGACAGTTCTCGTTCATGGGCTTCGCGAGATTTCGCGAGGTCACTCTCCAACTACTGTGCAACCGATGAGCATTAGGGAGCCAGGTCATTTGTTCATGCAATTTCAGCAGGGTGCAGCACTTTTGGCATACTGCACGCAACGAAGCTATTGCCAAAGGTTGGAAAGGATCCGGGAAACTTGCTCCTGTACTTGCAACCACGCTTGTGACATCTTTATCGTATACGCTGTACATGGTTCCATCCTGTGCTACAATCGCCGTGCAGATGTACCTCTAACTGCAGACACGCGTCAGCCTCAGTTCTGCAGAGTGTGCGTTTAGACACATGCATGGTTGCTGCAATCAGTTTCATGCATGATGGCCCCACCAGCACGACCTGACACACAGCTGACACAATCTTCATTTTGTGTAACATCCCTTGGAAGGAATCCATCCGGGAGTGCAGACAACATTTCTTCAGTGTTCTACAACGGCTTTCTCACGGCGCCGCGGTGGTCTCCATAGGAGGCATTCCTCGTGGAAGGGGATCCGTTGACGCCCTTCGGGGACCATCTCTTTCTGTCTCCCATTTGTCTCGTTCAACATGTAGGCTCATGAGGCTACCCGATTCGAAGTCTGAAGCCCCTTTCATCTGAGATTACTGGAACCCTCTCATCCGGGTCTGGATGAGACATGAGTTTTTTGCACAGGACGGCATATGCATCTGCTAGAGTGATCTGTGTGCGCGCCGCTACCGCCGCTTTCTAGTCAAGTCTGACTCGCCTATTCTTACTTCCATGGCTCTTCTCTATTCCATCCATTCCGCTTTTGCGCAGGAGTGCATTTGCATCTGACATGTGGTCTAATGCATTAGTGTAACGTGCTTGCGGTAAAGTGCTGATTCGCTGATGCTTTGCCATGAGTCGCGCAATGATCGGATGGCCTGGCTGTTTCGCACAAACACCCAGTATCGAAGCAAAGGCAAATAGAAGGCAACAAAAAGTACATTAGAGCTGGAATCAAGCAAGCAACAAACGGAAAGAAAAGGTAAACAAAAGGGTGAAAAAGGTGAAGACTAGACACAGTCGCCGTGACTCAGACTTTTCTACAACACTCCCACGCCGTCCCACCAGCCTGGGCAGGCGAGCGGGCGAGCGTCCTTATCATTTTCCTTTACAAGATGCGAAAAAAAGGCTCAGCAAAACGGTCTAGAACGGTGTAAATATGGTAAAAATGCTAAACTTTGTAATTAGCAAAGGTGGAAAAAAACAAGGTACAACCCACGCAAAGGACAGGTGTGGGTGGGACATCCCGGATCACTTGCCCAAAAAAGGGGCCCCTGCGGTCGGTCACACACAGTCTGTGCGGCTGCTCTCCTAAGGCTAGGAACGCTAGCTTAAACAGACTACCAGGCTTCGTACACGGTGTCAACTGAGCTCACTTCACACCCGTGACTTTTTTGGTGTAGAAGCCTGTTGTGCAAACCACACATGGGTGGCTTAGTCCATCCCTTCAAGTGGTTCCGCAAGAGCCGCAGTCTTCCATCTCTGAGGCTGCTTTGCTTTCTTCTTGATTGCAGAATAAATTGGTTGCTCTATGTTCAACTAGTTAAGCAAAAGACACTCTATTAACCTGGTGCTTTCCATGACCTTTGTCAGTGGATCTGCAACCGTAAAATTTGTATCAATCCATCGGACTTCGTCCATAAGCTCTTTGGGACGGTCGTCCAAATAATAGGGACTGTCGCAGGGACGCGATCTCTATGCTCAGTCGTTCGTCCGCATGCTTTGTCATCTTCGGATTTTAGAGTGTGTCGCTCAGTGAGCGGCAGTCCGCAAACTGCACCTGCCTCATGAAAGCTGCTGAGCTAGCCTCCCGCTTCCTACGGTCTAATTTTCCAAGTAGATCCGCAACGGCTGCACTGGCTGCTCTGAATCGATCACCTTATTCGACTCCAATCTGAAGGGTGTAGGCTTCGGTTTGCAACGTAGACCTACAAACTCTTCTGACTTTCAACAAAACGGATGAGGTGCGCATGACCTTCATCTGATGACATCAAGCTAGGCGTGCCCATGCAATTAAGATTTGCGCGTTGGCTCCTATGAAGCTCCAAGGAATCTTCTTGGTTCACCGTCAGAGAGTCGTCCTGAGATTCAGGTACGGGTATATTTGCAGCGTCGTTTAAGACATCCTCGTCTCAAGTTCTTCAATGACAGGCCTTTCTTCACCGGGCTCGGCCCGTGACCCTTCACGAGTAGGTCCGGTCCTACCCTTCTGCGAGCCCGTTCGCTCCCCAGTTAACGGGTGAGCTCGAACAACAGCTGGTTGAGGTGAATCTTCATCATCCTCACATCCTCATCGTCGCCTTCGTCGTCGGCGTCACTGTCGTGCATACGAACATCGACGAAACATTGTTGCTCTCTTCCAAATTCTTGATGTTCGTACTGTAAGGTACCTTTGCTCAGAACCTCATACGCTAAAGCTTCCGCCGAAGCAAACGGTCGGAGTTTGCCCAGAGTGGTGGCAACGGGTACTTTTCTTTGAGTGACACGCACAGTCTTTCCATCAAAACCTATAAGTCTGGATACTCCAGACCAACTTGGTGTACGTACCGTTTGACTCTCTTTCGATACGGTAACAGACTAAGTCGCCTGCTGCGTATTGGCCAAGTAGTGGTCCAGATTGCCTCATAACGGCAGATCTCGCTCGCCTTGAGGTGTCCTGGTGGACGCAGGACTTTAAAGCTGTGTGTCTGTATTCTATGTTACGTCCAAATGCCATGGGGGAATCCATCGCGCCACTAAGTATGCCACGTTGGCCTAACTCGTCTTCGTCGCGTAAGTGACCAATGCCTCTAGGCCCTAGGCTGGCATCCTAGAACCCATCGTGACGGCGAAAATCCTCCATGTCGGATGAATTCATTCTTAGCAACCTGACATTCATTCAGCCATGGCAGCTTTGACCTGTTGCTTGCCTCAGCTATGCATCTTGCCAACTCGTCGGTAGGCACGTGTGATAATGCTTACATGGCGCTCACATCTTCCGATGTGGTCCGGACTCTCAAGTCCAGCTTGTCTCAAAACAACGCCATGCTGCCATGTTGTGACAACCCTGCAGCAAAACTGCCACGGTTGTGCAAACCCCGATCTGTAGAAACAGATTCGGGCCATCCTGCCCGTTGAACCCAATGTCGTTGAAACTTCTTCAAGCACGCGGTGCTCGAAGGCTGGCCTTCACCAACTCTTACCGACACAAAGACTTGTAACAAAACCCGACACAAACAATGTTCAGGAAATGGTATTTCTGTCTTTCCGCGTCTTGGATTCCGTCGATAAAAATTTGTTTGGTAAAACCATAGGCGCAAGTAGGGAAACGAAATGCCTCGGCAGCCCTGATCAGGTCCTCAGGTGCTCCTGAACCCCTTAGGACTCGTAGCAGAACATCTTTGGGTTTACGTGGCATCATATTCTGAAGTCGCCTAATTGCGATCCTCGTTTCAGCCCACTCTCGCTTTCGCTCGGCTTCATCTTTCGGGAAGCCGGTTAACGCCAAAGTTTCAAACAGGTCTTCATCAACATCCTGTTGAGGGTCTGGGTAAAGAAATGATTGATTTTTTTGGGCCCACCGTCCTATCGGTCCTATCTAAAGTACCTTGTCCAAAGGCGTTTCCTGGCGGCCTGTCGGTCCGTCTTGCTTGTCTGGCTTTCCACAAGTGGTAGATCGGGCTTCACTGTATCCAGCTGCTCCATCATGGCATTTACTGCCCTAATGGGGTGCTCAAGATACTCCTTTCCGAAGCTCTCATAGTCGACAGCATTAAGGTCCCACGTAGTTCCCGCATCAGGATGTCCATACAATGCTTTGACCAGGCCGTCGGAATTTGTGACGATTCGCTGAGGGATGCCACGCCTCATCAGGAAGCTCAACCCAGCATGCAGTGCCAGACAGATTAGCCTGAATGTAAGCTTAAATTGCATCCGCCATCTGCACCTCATATCCCGGCCAACAACCATAGTAATCAGCCCATCAAAGGAGCTCGTGAATTGCCGACGTACTGGAAGAGCGCAGCTTCCATGTTCTGGTCCTTGACTTGACCGCCCAGTAGCACGCCCCGTCCTTTGAACTTCCTGGCCGGATCATCCTCCTTCAATTGGTAGTTCTTCTCATAGATGAGTCCGTGCACGCGAGCCATGTGTACTGCCTTCAGCATATGTGCTGTTTGCGAGCCATCAACGTAGCGCTTCACAATCGCTCCCATTAGCGGTATGACCGTCTTATGGTAATTCTTCGCAAGACCGTCCACAGCTGACAAATCGGTTGGCCCGAAAACTGCGAACAAACTGATCAGAAACACGTAGGCCACCTTGTCCAGGTCGGCTGTCTTGTTGTCGACAGGGTCGCTGAAGTCGAAACAAATCGACATCTTCTACACAAGTAAGATCGTCGCCATCGTCATCTTTCATCTTCATGTCTCGTCTCGTGCCGATGACGTGGTTTCATCCTTCTGCTTGTTCTTCTTCGGTCCCTTCGAAGCTTTGCGCTCTCGATTTGCCTTTTCTGCTGTAATGCGGCTTAACCAAAACATCGCCAGAACCACGAGCGACGTCGGGGGCTGGTGAAGCGCTCCGTTTCGGCTCCCAGGTCTTCGCAGGGCTTTTGCTCTTGCCTCAACAGGCTTTGCCCGTGACCATTTCTTCCACGGCATCGCGCCAAAATGACCCCCGACCCCGTGGTTTCCGAGTCACGAGTCGTACCGGCACATTCAGAGCACATACCAAAGGTATTGTTCCAGTTCCAGTTCACCGTTGCCGAAGCGTCAAGCACACCCACGTCGCAGTCGTACAGCTCTTTGAGAACACGCTTAAGGAGAGACCACGGCGCTTGCCGCCTTTGCAGAAGGTCAGTATCACGAAGTGTTCGCCGAAGTTAAGGCTTTGTGCAGTGCCCGGGCTATGCGACCAATAAGGTGCACAAATTCCTTGGTCTTGACCATGTGCTCCAAGTTTTTCCCAATTGGTTTCGATATGTTTTCGTGAATCAGACTGGGTCCTGAGTCAGGAACTACCCTGCAATCGATACAGATCAATCTGCTATCGTTTAAGAAACGACGACAAAAGCAAGCCTGTGGTCCACTGCGTGTGCCCCCAGCGCGGGACTCAGGGAACGCAAGGCCTTCGCCGGTCCCGGAAGGTCTGTCCTTTCCAGCCTCTGGGAGAACAGGGTAGTGTTCAAACGAAAACTCCTGATGTCTCAAAGAGAGCTTGTCACGAAAATGATCAAGCAACCCAGTCTTGTGGTGCTTGTTTCTTCGGTCTTCTATCGATAGACTGCTTGGCCTCGGCTTGTAGCCGTGAGCACGTTTGCGCATCGGCTTTGGTTCTCGTTTGGCCTTTGAGCGAGCAAAGAAAGCCGTGACCTCAGCCTGGCACGCTTGGTCCATGAAGGCGATACTGTCTTTGTCCTCCAGATCAATAACTCTGGTGAACTACGGAACGCCTCCATGACATCCAGCTCTATGTTCTCGGCGGTCGCGTCTTCAAGCGATCCAGCCAGAAACGCTGTGACATCGTCATCAGCCTTAACCAGCTCTTCTTCACTTTCGGGATCCCAGACGGAATCGTCTTCTTCTCCGTAGGTCTCGAAGAGTTCACCTGAGTGTGCTACGTAAGCTGAATTCTGCTGGAACTGAGTGCCTTTCTTTCCCTTGCTTTTTCCCTTGTAGGGATTTCCACGTGTAGAAATTCTTGGGGCTTTGGGAATTCCTTTGTTCTCTGGGAGGCGAAGTTTCCCGTTTCCCGTGTTGGGTGATCAAGGTTTTCTCAATTGTTTTGAAAGAGGGCTTGTCGCCAACATCCGTGAGTATCATTAGTCGTTCTTTGCGATCCAATCCACAGCTGTCTAAAAGTAGATCAGCGCGGATGGTGTCTGATATCTTCAAAAAGTTATCCAGATCCGTGAGCATACGATACCACTGCATAAGAGGTCATGCTCCCTCCGGGCTGTCGAGACATGACTCCGCCAACGCTGGAGCCTACTCTGTAGAGCTCTTTGGCTTCTTGAACCAGCAAAGGAAAGATCTGCTTTCGCACTGCGTCGATTATCTTCTCGATCGCTCCAGGAAACTTTAGCACGTCGTGTCCCAAGTCTTGGGCTACGATGTATGCGTCGCTTCTAAGCGACTCGAAAAGCTTAGCACCGAGAGAAAACCTCGCTTCGGCCTTCGTTGCGTGGAACTTCGCCATCGCACGAAACTCCCATTCATAGTGGTTTTGCACAGACCCACTATAAGCGAGGAATCCGGCTTTAGCAAGCTCGGGTTCGTCTTGAGATCTGGGGTAGGGCTTGGATGTCAATCCCCTTCGAGGCCCTATACGGCGGCCATGGCTGCAGCGCCGAAGGAGTCCCAGCACGATGGGGGAGCTACGCAAACGGCGGGCCTGGAGTCAGGCAATTCAGGCACTGGCTCCGCCACCAGCGTGAAAACCGGTCGTTTTCGCGTTCGAGCCTTGGCCCAAAAGAGGGCCCCCTTCGGTCACACACAGTCTGTGCTGCTGCTCTCCTAAGGCTGGGCTGTACAACACTAGGTTAAACAGACTACCAGGCTTCGTACACGCTGTCGTGTGAGCACGCTTGTCACACCTTTTATTGAAACTGACATCTGCCTTTGTCTCCATGGATAGGACCTTCTAACTATAGCAGGCCTGAAGGCCTTACGTCGCCAAATCAATCCAAGAGGCCCATCGGCTCCACGCTGCCACCCGGGCTCGAACAATCATCTGCAACGGCCAGGGCGTGTACACACAAACGAAGGCAGACCCGCATCTGGCCGAGGCCCGCGCTTCCGATGCACCACTTGCCCGTGACCTCGCTGAAAGTCAACCTTGACACTTCGGAAACTGTGTGCTCAAATTTCCTGCATCGCGTTGCATGGTGGCTTTGTGCAACCCTTCTGCTAATCATGCGCGCGGCTTGAACAAACACTCGTAGCATGCTCAACTTACGGGCGACTTTTCTTGTGACTGGCCTACGATTGGTTGTCAATTCTTGCATAGACACCTGCTGCCATTCTCAAGCAACTGCCTCTCCTAGGATCTGTCCGCAGCAGACACGACGAACGTAGTTCCCAACATGCTCTAACCATATGCACCTCCTCAACCCCCACATGCGTACACCGAGCTCTCAAATTAGGTCTCAGTTGTCTCGAAGACCAGCCAGAGCCCGCAAGCTTTCAAATCCTCAACCTGATCCGTGGGCACACAGCCAGTGTGGTTTTCGCAGAGGAACTTCGCCAGCTTTGTTGTCTGCCAGCCTCCCCACGCCTGCTGCGCATAATGGTTCACCAAGCAAAACATTCTTCGACCTTTGGAATAAGAGTTCAGTGTGCTTCCTAGAGCAGGGATTCGGCCAGCGTGCGCTGCCGTAAGCATGCAACATGGCTTCGTATTGGGGCTCGGGAATCACGAAGCAGATGGACTCACAGCACCGGTGACGAAAGTCATCCACACGTGGATACTTAATACAGCTTCTCTGTCGAGTGTGCTCGTGGCCATCCTTCTTTGACGAACTCAGCATGCAGAAGGGCTGATGCTGCTGCGGTGGAAGCTCCCGACATGCCTTCTGGATGTAGTCCAAGCGGCCCGACGAACCAACCTCGGCTGCAAGACAGTTGAGCTGCCACACGGTCTATCTCTTGCTCAGTGCAGGCAGGCCGCCTTCTCAGGGCAGTAGGTGCCCTCAAGACCTCTGCGCTGAAGCGACAAGGCGTGGTATGACCCTGAAACATCGCAGCCAAGATTGTAAGAGCTCCTGAATGATACGAATGCCCCCATCAATGAAGCCGCTATATTGCTACATCCTGGCCTGGCAGGCCTGTCCTGGCACCTTAAGGTTGGAAGCTGAACCGCCCCAAAGGCCCCCGTTCTTGGAGCCAGGCGGTTCACGCGGGCGTGGTCCGGCCCTCTGGACACCATGGCAACTGGAGCGCCTCATTTGAGGAGCGAGGGAGGTCACGGGAGTCCACATGGCAAGCTTGCCGGGCCTGGCCTGCTTCCTTGCAGCAGACGTACTTGAAGCGTGCCCACAGGCCGCCTTCCGAGTACCTCACGACGCTACATGTTAAACGCTGGCACGGAAGGAAGAGCGGCTCCTGACGCAACCGAGCTTGAAAGCAAGCAATCACCGGCTTGTAACAAAACGAGCAGCAAGTTGGGAGAATGTACACGAAAGCGCTGAGACTACCGGCCCTAGTTAATGGGCCTTCGGGAGCATGGATCGAGCATCGATGCCGTACTCAGCCGTGTCATCTCATGGTAAGCAAATCGCGCTCAAGAGGCTCGAAGTGGACTGCGCTCAGCAGGTCGTGCTGAGGGCAGACGATGTGCAAGCGCTTCAAGATGCTCTTGGACAGTACCTTGGTGCTCGCACTATCTTTGGGACGATGGCCCACCCACGAACCCACCCGACCAATCAAACACCTTTCATCTTCATCCCATCTCTCGTTTGTGTCCTATTGGTTTAGAGGAGAGGGTCCTTTTTTTTTCCCTCCCTCCCTCCCTCCCTCCCTCACCAACTCGAGACACAAGTGTCAGTACAACACGTCAAAACCAGCCATTCATTCCCCCATGTTGCGTTTTAGCGGGATCCCCTCTATATCGCCTCTTGCACACTGGATCGATGCGACTGAACCCTTGGACCCAGTAATTCCAGTCCAGTTTCACTGTCCTTGAACTCGTGGGCGTCTTGCTGGTCCGTCCAAGCTGGGTAGCACTGTCCTCGGCTGCCGACGCTTCTCCGGCTGCAGTGTTGATGATCAACGGCGAAGCTAAACCAAGTGCAACCTTGCAACAAAGCTGAAATCCAGCCAAACCAGAAAGTCCCACTTCCGGGCCGAGAATCCGAGGCCCGAGGCCGTTGCGCAGGTGTACTTCACCTGCAGCTTGTTGTTGACCTCCCAGCGAGGGGGCAAGACTGACGGGAACCTGTGGGTTGTGACCCTCATGGCTTAGTCTGCGCTAGAAGTAGAGGCATGTAGAGGCGGGCCGGTGCTGCAGAGCAACATCAAACAACCAAACAACGCCATCCCGTCAAACTCCCATTGGCACGTGCATCGACAAGCAGATTCTAGGCTGCACCAGGGCCAGGCGGCATTGAGCATGTCCAATGACTGGAGCACCTTGCCCTGAGGACATGCCATCTCCTGAACTGCAGGAGTCTGCAGGTTTGAGGAGACGGGCACCTCTCGGCCTTCGGCCGTTGAGTCGCAAGCTTCTGAGAGAGTGCCGATCAGCCTCTGATCAACTATCTAGATCGGCTGTCGTATCTTCACCGAAGAGTCAAACCAAAAGGAGATAGTGTCTGTTTTCCGGGTGTCGGGTCTGTCTGTTTCTACACCTCGAAGTGATGTTCGTTTGCATGGGGTGGTGTGGCGTATGCTGTGTTCGACACTCTGAACCGAACCACCTGCCATGCCACCTACAAATTTCAAGTTTCAGCTTGTTGGAACGGCAAACGACAGCTGCAGCGACGCAGGTCATTTAGCACTTGCCCTGCAAGAGACCTCCATCCTGAACCCCAACTCTTAGTTGTTCAGATGTTGGTTCACGAAAAGAACGTGTGCAACACGGAACCGTCGGCGGAATCGGAATTTCATGCCACTGAAACAAAGACGCGGCACCCAGCTCTCGAGATCCTCCCACCATTGAGGCCAGCTGCTGTCCTGACATGTGACCCTTTTGAAGAGTCCGGCTTTACTTGATGCTTGAGGTGCCATGAGGTGCTCGGCTGCCGAGAGACTTCCGTTGTGAACCTGAGCCTCGCCCGGGTGAATCCCGGTCCGGACCCCAAGCCGACTCTCCTTGAAAGAGCGTGTCGTGGCAATCTGAACGGGAAGCTCCTGCATTGACACGCTGCCGAAGTGACTTTATGCAGTTGTAGGTCGCTGGCGGTCTAGGGTGACCAGAGTCTAATCCTGCTGGCGTATCTTCTGAATGCCCGTGCTGGAAATCCTGAAGCATTAACACACCCTCAATCTTGACAGCACTCGGGCTCGACCATACGAGAACTATGTCAGTCGAAAACGCTCCAGCTTTGCTGGGCAGGCAGCTCCTTCGAGAGCAGGGGCACGAAGCGGCAGTCCTGAGTCTGAGGATTTGACGTGTCGACTCCAAGAAAATGACGCAAGCATTGCAGCACTTTGGGGCTGCAGCTGTTGTTCAAGAAAGCCTTCGGGACTCAGACGAACTCTCGCCATAAACGTATAAGAATCTCAGAACTCGCGGTGACTTCTCAAGAAATCCCCATGTGCAGATCTTTTCTCCGAGAGGCCACTGGAACTCCTTTGGCCAAGTCGTTCACTAGGAACATGTCTGGTTGCCTGACGGAGCAAGACATGCTGACATGGGTCGTGACGGCCACCAAACTGCCGTGGCGATAAGCAGCTTGACTGACCAAGCACAGAGTCTCGCAAGCTGACAGCAATTGCCTGTCACCTTGCAAATACATCTTCACCACATCATCTATACTGAGCGTCTGAGGTTCAGCTATACAGCAACATCCGAAACAGATGGAGCAGTGTCCAGCCAGCCACAACACAAACACCCCGACACTTATGCTCGCCTCCAACACTTCAAACCATTCCAAAGCACACAATACCGTCTGGACTTTGAGAAGTCTTGCTATTTCTACAATCTATTGAATTACCCGCAACACACACACACACACACAGCACTTCGAACTAAACTTCTGACGCATCACAAGCCTGGTCCTGCACAAAGCATGTTGAATCTCCAAGAAGTTACGGAACTCGCCGATACCTCGAATTCCTACGTGGCCCACAGAGCCCAGTCACAGGGAGCCCAGGGCAGTATTTCCAATACAGCCACGCGCGATTGCGGAGGTCGGCATCCACATTGTCTTATCCTGAGAGTCTTCAAGCCGCCGAGAACGAAGCTCCACAGGCTCTCAATAAATTTGTCTGACCAACCTTTCTTGTGCCACGCAGGGAAAGACACCCCTAAAGTCGCCCCTCGCGTCGCCCCGCATCTCGTCAATGCTATGGGCAGCGAAGGAGCCGCCATGTGTGCGAAAGCGGTCCTCAGCTGAAAGCATCTGGAGCAGACTGCATTGCGCGAAGGAGCGGTCAAGCCTGGAGGTGCCAGCTTGCCCAAGGTGACATCCGAAATGCCGACCAGAGCTGAAGCAACCAAAGACCCCTGCTTGTAGCCCTCACTTTTGCACTCAGCCATGCCACAGCGAAAGCTTCAAAACCGGGAGCCGGGGTGCCCAGGCACGATGACCCTCTTGTTGTGCGTGTCCGGCCCTTGGTACTCCAAGCGTAGGGAAGCCTTGGCGATGCGTGTTGAATACTGGGCTTTCCTGTCGCGTAGACGTGCCGAGGCTGAGGCGTGTCCGACCAACTCGTAGAAGTGCACCTCACCGGGGCATTCAATGACCGAGGCGGTAGGATATTACGGCTAATTGTGGCAAGGCTGCGGGCAGTGTAGGTTGGTTCTTCGTTTATGGTCTTAGACCGTAAAATCCCTCAACGCTAGGCGGATCCGCCCTCCCACGGCGAAACATTGAGCTTTACTGATACCAAACTCCAACTGAAAGTTTCATATTCACACACGGAGAATGGTGGGAGAAGAAGTGTGAAAGCATAATGCCACTTCTTCCACCATCTGCACAACCTTATTCATCTGAAACTTGCGGCAGTTAATTGATGATTTCTTCCAGCTACCCTGGATCGGTCGAATCTATTCCAGCAAACTTATGATCGAACCTGATCCAACAAATTTATGTCGACAAAGACAGTGAGGATGACTTATTATGCACATCCCACACTCTGTTAAGCTGATTCTAGCTTGCTAGCAAAATACCGAGCTTGGGTGTTCGTTCTTGAGCCACGATGTTGGCGGTGCACTGGATAGGAAGACAGCTTGACTGCAGCATTCTGCGACGCAGGTAAGCTGTGTTAGAGCTTCCGTAACTGTCTAGCAGTTAGCCCACTTACGCCGTTGCTCATAGCCCTAATTACCATTCCTGACGTGACACCTGCGAATTCTACGAGGCATCGAAGGCTGTTCGCAGTGAATGTCGGCTATCTGGCTCTAGCTTCAAAGGTTCTAAAACCTGCAGCACACGACGACCTGCGGTCACCAAAAGCTTTTCGCCAAACAAAGAGATACACTCAGGCCTGCACGAAAGTTCGGCATTGGAATCAAGTTTGTGCTTACGTATTCTTCGGGCGGTACCTCAAGAGAGAAACAAACAGAGATTGGCCTTCGCTCTGGTGCTGCCGTAAGCTCTGTCGAGTCTTGCTCGTCTAAAGTACTTTATTTCGGCCTCGAATCCGGAAAGCCACGGAGAACGGTGGGAGAAAAAGGTTGAAGCCATAACGCCACTTCTTCCACCATCTGCAAAAACCTTAATACTCATCTGAAACCTGTGGCAGTTAAACGATACGCTAATTTCTTCCAAGTCCTCGGCCCAGCCTGGTTGCCACAAGATTGAAAAGGCAGGTACGTGATCCCAGCGTCCCCGGATCATCTCACACTCAACAGACAGGTGGTTTCGCTGGCCTGAGTCCTGTCTGTGAGCCCCCGCCAAGGAATCGAATTGTTTGCATCCACGGACCTTTAACTTAGCATCAAGGCTTACACACACACACACACACCACACCAACACACACACACACACACACACACCCTAGCCCACAAGGCAACCTGAGCACTGAAATATAATCCTACGTTCTAATTCTTAAAGTAAGGGCATCCTTCCTGATGCTAGTCCGCTGCTTCCATTCGTGCTGAGGTCCTTTGAATCTGACTCGAGACGAGCGCACGCTCCGCTGGGCCCACAGAGCTGGCTAGAAGCATTCTGAACTTCTACAGAAGCCAGACAAACATTAATTATCCTCGTGCCTTATGCCCGCAAGGTAACCTGGAGGGAATCTTAGACTGATCATCCTTCCAAGTTTCTGTGGTTCACCATAAGGGTCGTTGATACGGTGTTGGCTCGACTTCAGACGGTTGGGGAAGGACGTGGAGTCATGGTCTCATAGTCGATCGGACTGAAGCCCCAGACCGAGTCGGGTTTCGGAGTGTGTGATGAGTCAGGGTCGCTTCAGGTTATGGACTCAAGCATCAGCCTACAGCCGTAAAGGTTCGAATATGGCTGATGTGGGATGACCAAAAAAGCCGCCTGCCTCTATTGGCCAGCTCCCCATTGTCAGCTTCTGCTTTATGTGCCTGTGGCGTGTGCCGCCACAGCCGCGGAGGCTCCCAATCTGACCCAGCACCGCTTCGAGCTTGGCTTCGGGCTCTCCGGAGTTACCCAATGGCCCATGAACTCTTCAGCTTACACGTCGAAGCTAGCACTTCGAAGGGATCTCAGATGTGGGTGATGGGCCTTGGGGCCGAAGGAGGCTTCCGAGACCGTTCAAGGGCTTTGCTGTGGAACCGCGACCGTCCATATCCATGCGAACCCAACCAGCCCTTAGCTCGCCTCTCTGTGATTTAAGAAGAGGCGGGAGGCATCGTCCGCCGCTAGCCAGAAGTGGTACCAACCTGACGGTCAACGTGCTAAGGTTCAGCACTTTGGCGTGATTACTACGCGGGCTGAGGGCTGAGACACGTTCCGGGAGATGCCGGTCCAATAGTCTCTAGATGCGCACTGAAGCACTTCAGGTGGCTAGATTGGCAGGCGGCTGGAATCATCGATATGTACAACATAGTGCTGGCGGAGCAGATTCGAGTGCTGCAAGATTTCCATTTCAATCAATGGGTGAAGTGACGTCGTAAAGAGTTCATGAAGTCTTGACGGCATCTGCAAAGGAGTCGGCTGGAGACTGGCATTTATTTGGGTGGAGAAGCGGACTCATCAGGAAGAATGTGCACTGCAAAATACATGCTCGAAGCGCTTCTACCAAGGTCGAACATCGCCGGTTGCGGGACTGTGGCGTTGCTACATCAGCCCCTCTCGAGAAGCTTTTGAGAGAAGGCGACTTCAGAAAGCACGCTGCTATGCGAAACCGGGGTTTGCTCGCTGCCTGGCCTGGCTCGTTGATCATCAGAACACCGCTCATCCTCCGTGGTTGAACAGATGTGTTCACATGGCTGTGGGCAGCGCTGCGTGAAGGGGTTGTTTGCATTCAGTTTCTCGAAATGTAGCCCTGCTCCTGGCACCAAGCCGGTCTTAGCCAGAAGCCTCAACCCTGTTCGTCCTGGCAGAATACCTGTCGTTGTGCTTGAGGCCCGCCCAGCTGTCAGCCTTCCAGAAGTTCATCCTGCAGCGGGACTCAGACCCACTGCCTATGCTGAGTGTGAGAAAAACATATCACAAGTTCCAACGGAAGCCTAAAGACGTAAGCCACAGTGCCAATTTCAGGAGGTTCGTTCGCGGGTTGGCTTGGGATGTCTTGGAGATCTAGAGTCAAGCGTTTCGACGGTCACGAAGCCGAGGCTCTTACGGCGTCTTACGGCTTCAAGCCCATGTTGATGGATTGCTCTCGTAGGGCAACCACACATGTCGCGGAACGACATGCTCAACACGCGGATGTGCTTTAATACAAAACAGCTCGCCCAAACACTGCATCTTTTCCATCCAAGATGCTGCGGTATAACTTCCACCTGCGCACGGTAAGCGTCTTCATTGCAGGCGGGGATATGATGGGGAACTGACATTGACACATGGCACCTGTTTTGAAGCGTCTTGGTAATACATTAGCCTGGATGCAAGGCTCAGCAGCCTTCCAAGTATCCACCGGCAAAGCACGCGAATCGACTTCACAGCGGAATATAGCCTTCACCTTCCAAACCTCTCGCGGCCCGGGTGATCTACCACACCTTGTCAGCCGCACGCCACGTGAGATCCGGAATCACGCAGCTGTCCTGACTTCAGTCTCTCCAACCCCATCCGACAAGAGCTTCGAAGAACTTTTAAATGCCACTCATTGCTTAAATACGCAAAATTCCAAGGCAAATCCGGATCATCGCGTAGCTGCACGCCCCCCCAAAGCCCACAGTCCGACTTCAGGTTGTAGAAGTACTCCGCCTGTGTTAGGGCACGTGCATGGAGATCCTGCAACTCGAAACCTTCGCTGCGTCCAAAATCCGCAGCAGGTTGAGCTTTGCACCGGCTTTGGGGGCTTTCGCTGGCAAAAGCATCGTGCCTTGAGCCCCGGCAAAAGCACGTTGTCCTGGAGCCAGCTGTTGCGATGGAGCATCGTGAAAAGATAGCCTTAGAGGCATAGCGCTGCCCCACAAAGGTCTGCAGTTCCAGCACATCAAACTCAATTCGATTAGAACCCCTTACACTGTTGCTGCTACTGGAAGGATGCGCGCCATGAAGATTGATTTCCTCCTTCTGCAGAGATCAGCCGAGCAGCCGCTGTTAGTTACGGTAGTAGTTGTTGGCACAAAAAAAGCTTGCATTCAGGAGGCCATGGAAGCTGGAGCACAACAAGAAACATGCAATGCCTGCTGCCGGGTATCCGATATCCGAGGAAGGGATCATCTGGTGCACATCGTCCCCGACGCAAGTTGCAGAAAGAAGTGCCATCCGCTTCTGCCAGGACTGGTTATGAGTCGTGACCGTCGTGTCCAAGCTTAGGCTGAAGGAGCTGAAGTGCAAGCAGCTATAGCGGGTTCAGGCATGCAGTTTTCAGTTCTTACAGGCAGGCTTCGTGTTAGCAAAGGTGCGGTGCTTGCCAGCAGAAGCCAGGAGAGAATGTTTCGTGGGACTCTCGCGGTGAAGGTGTGGTCAATCGTCATGGATTCAGGTGGTGCGATTTAGGTGGTGCGGGAGGATGACGCGCTGCATTACACAGGCTGGCTTTATGCGATTTGTTGCTCACCGCGGCCGGTTTGCCAGAGCACGTTCCTTCATAGTGCAGCTGCTGACACAACCTATGCCACACTTATGTCTGCAGGAAAAAAGCTGACTCTTCGCGTGACTTGAGTTGAGCGTCCGAGCTTGGGCATCCAAACCTGTTGTTTCAGGGTTGGCAGAGAACTTGTTCAGCGATGAGTCAACCCAAGTACTGCAACTGTTACTACCACTACAGTAGTATTTCAACACATGCCTCCGAGTATCTTCAAAATCGTCTAACCGACAGTGCACCAAGATGGGAAGCACCACATGCAAAATCACACCCAGGTAGCGAAAGAATCTGACGCCATGTGAGCCGGGGCCATGCCATCGAAGCATGTCGTTCCCTGTAAAGTCAGTTCACGGCTTCCATCCTAAGCCCCCAACTTCCACCGAAAGCCTACATGGAAAATTCGACCGGGATATCCGGGATCTCCCTTCGACTGGGCAGGTCCTTCGTTTGCGTCACGCGCAGGCAATCCGGCGAGCCGCCGATTCGCAGGTGCCTGCAAGCGAGGTTTTCTGAAGCCCTGACAACTGACAGTCCCCAGTCACAGCACGGTCCTGCTACCCGAATCCGACTCGCTCCAGGACTCGCTGTTGTAGTTCGTCGGACACGTCCTTGCCTGAGCTTCAATGCTCTCACAGATCTGCAGCTTTCTTCCGGGACATATCTCGGGCCGAGGGCCCGAAGAGCAGATGTTGAGACGTTGGATTTTGAGTGCTACTGCGGTGCTGCGGTGCTGCTGTTTCAACCCATCTTGACACTTGAGGGCCTCCTGGAACCCCGAAAGCTTGACTTCCTCGAAGATCCCCGAAGCGAGCTGCAAGCCCATGTTGCGTTACTTACAGTCTTGGGACCTTTATTTTCAGTTCTGCAGATGCAGTCAGGTAGCCTGGAGCAGATTCACCTCGTTGTCCTGCCATTGTCGCGGCGATGTCAACTCTGTGCACATGAGCCCTGTATAAGTTGACGCCAGGAGCGGAAACGAATCTTACTTAAATAGCCCTGGCCCAAAGTGCAACCCCTGAGCCACTCCAGCGAAGGACGATACTGAAACACGAGTCGCTATCTTGAATTTGGATCCCATGGTCCAAGTGCGTCTTGCAGAGCATTACCGCGGCTCGGAGACAGATGCTCCTTGGTCGAGATCGCTTTGGCTGGATAGTTCTATAACCACGGGAGCCCTGCGGCCTGCGGCCTTTTTGTGCCGATCTCTTGCTACCAAGCTTCTTGTGCCACCAGAAGTCGGTAAGGCCTCAACACAGTCCAGAGAAATCGCTCCGGACTGTAGACTATACGGCCACAGATCAGATCCAAGACTGGAGCCTACGATGTTCCCAAATACCCGTCATCCTGATCGAGTGGAAGGCCCAAAACCGCGATCGTGCTCGGCGAGCCACGCACAAACCTCGCTTCCACGGCCTCTGCGAAGTATGCTCGCACCTGAAACCATGTTGCAGTTGACATTTCAAGACGCTAGAGGTACACAGAACTGGCATGCTTCAAGGATGCAAAGACATAGAATTGTCTCAACTTGCGTTTCGCAATTGTGCGGTGGCAGGCTTAAGCTTGTTCTGATTCTCCATGTGCAAGAGTATGAGTGTAGGATGCCGATTTCGAGGACGAACATGCCTTCGAACTTGGCTTACCCTGGGTAAGAGCGTCGATAGCATTGGCAATCATGCCAAGGTGCGAGAACCGATGCAACACTCTGAGATAGGTCCAGGTATGCTCAAACATGCTCAAACTGTAGACCCGACGCATGCAAAAGAGCCTAAAACCCATCCAGCGTCTTCAGGATCAACTGCGCAGAGCACGAAACAGAACACAAAGGAAGCGATGCTGTAAATGGTGAAAGAACCGCCTTTTGGTGCCTTCAGTCCTGCAGGCCCAGGTGCGTGATCCTCCGTCTTGTGCGACATGCCGGTGAATCGATTCGGGATCGTTATCCAGCTTCCTGGCCGTCTGTGCGAATAGATATGTGGCAGTCGGGCATTGTCCCAAAGGTTCAACTCCTTATGCCTTAGATTGCCTGTGTCTAGCATGCAGCATGAGAGAAAGGGACGGGGCTGGTTGTGTGGTGGAGCTGAGCTCTTGCACTCACACCGGCCTTACTTGAACAGCTCAGGCATGCTCAGGCTCCATGCGACTCCGATTCGAGGCGCTTGTCAGCTTTCTGCTTCGCCGATTCTGCTACTAGCACGACTACGATCGGCACACAAGAGTCTCCAGCCTTTGCAAACGCTAGAAACTGAACCTGGTAACGTGGCAAAGCCTGCACACATCCCAAACCTGAGAAGATGACCCACTGGTCCATACACAAGTCAAGCAGGCTCTGCCTTTTTCTGATGCTTTGTACTGAACTTTGAAGGCGTAGACCTTGACTTTGGTCGATGCTTAACGGTGTAGCTTTCAAGGTGCCCAACCAAACGTTGCTGACTCCAACTGCGGACGTGACCCATCAAGAGAGTCAGCGATCTACAACTGACTTGGTGACCTGCGAACATCCATTCAGCGGCAGGGACTTTAGTATGCCGCGCTCCACCACCGAGGTGTGCACCGTGTTCAGAACTACTTACTGCGGAAGCTTCGCTCCTTGTGTTGGGGCTGATGGTCGTGACAAACAGCACGCCTGCGGCAACCGGAGTCCCCAGATGGGAAAGCCCCCACCAACTTTGGCTACGCCTCAACACAGGCCCTACACGAAATCCTCATCTGCTGAATCGCAGACATTGAAGCGTCTAGCATTCTCACTTGGCCAGCGGCGAAGTCATCCGACTTGTGCAGCGTTTGGAGGATGATGCCCATTACCTTCTCCTTTGCCTTGGGACTACTGCAATAGGACACGCCGAAAACTCCGGACTTGCTGTGATACCATGCGCCAGTTAAGTCTCGCCCCCGGTATATCGGCTATCGAGGTTGCAAGGTTACCCGGCTACCCTTGCACCACGACGGACTGTGCGAACCCCAACTCCAAACCTCGCCCGCGATCAACGTGCTTGCAGGGCTGCTCGCAGGTCGATTTCCACCCACTTGTGGCGGTGGTTCCTTGGCTTGTCGTGCAGTCTTACCCTAACCCGGGCTGGCACTGTAAGGGCTGCCGCGAACTCAAGCTCCTTGGTTCTGTTGCGAGCAGCGGTGCTGCAGATTGTTGAATGTGGCCGGAAACCGTCTCCTGAAAACGGGCTCCAAAAGCTCCTGCACAGACTCCGCCTATAGCAAGCGCATATAAGTCAATCGATGCTTTGCGTCAAGTTTCGAGGACGCGCACCAACCAGACGTGGAATCCAGGGCCAAGTCAACGCCTTAGTGCTTCTGCTACCTAAGTGGGCCCCAAGGCTTTTCTTTAAACAAGGCGCCAGTGTCGTCCGAAGCTCTGCTGCTGTGCTACCTCTAAGGCGACAAGCATCTAGTGAATCTAGTGCAGGAGCCTGGTTCCTTGTGCGTCCGAGTCACGGTGTGTCCTTGGATGCTCACCAAAGTTGAAATCAATTTTGTCGTGCTCAGGGTTGAAGGGCTGCACATTAGGTCTGGCGGGTTCGGACTCCCCGTGTCATGAATACTGCAAGAACATTTGAAGCATCTACGAGCTGTAATTAGTCAGGCTGCGTGTGCATGCGCCGCCTGCTTTCGGAAACTCTATCGCATTACTCAGGTCAGCGATATCCTACTGCACCTCAGACCTCACCCTCTGCCACATCGACATAGATGGAAAGTCGAGGCTACACATGCATTCCAGTGCGAGAAAGCACCGTGCCCTCTCCAGACTGTCCACAGCTTTGCGATCAGCCCTTTGAGGAAGCTTCGTCTAAGAATCCGAGTGTTCCGAATCTCCAGAAAGCCTCCGGTACACGAACACGAATCGGCCAAACATCAGCTCTCCGAATCGCTAAGCCTGACTGCACTCGCGACATTATCGGCCAGCAGAGCGACGACTTGTGTAACCGGAGGCGATTCAGGACCTGCTTGTTGTAGCCTTCCAAGTTGCGGGCTCCGCGGGCAAGGCAGCAACCATGTGCTTCTCTGCGGACTCTGCGGAAACAAAACTAAGGTCTATGTAGTGTTTGCAGCTTCGGTTTACGATCCAGGTTTCGGAGTTCCTTTGCATGCGCTCGAAATTTCGCCATGTGGTGTCTGAAGTTTTGCGGCGCGTCCTCGAAGCCTGAGCAGTATGCGCCAACGGAAGGCCGCTAAGCCGAGGCACTGCCACGCTCGTCTCTCCAGTGCTCTGGCTGCTTCAGGATCACCTTGCCTGCAGGGAATTTCTGAAGCTCTGAAATCTCTTGCGTGGGGTTGTACAACTACGCAGGGCTGCCAGAGCAGTGGAGCTCTGGATTTGCGCGATTCATCTCGTGAGGCAGCGTCTGTAGGGTGAAGCAGTGAAATTCCGTCAGAAATCTTTTCTGCATCCTGTAGGCCCCTTCCCAACAGATTTCTGTATTCTCTTTTGCTGTCTCAGCGCCGCTGTCCCACCAGCCTTTTCGAATTAGCTGCCCAGTGTCCCCCCCTGTGTAGGTGCGAAGTAGACACGTGATTCTGAGCCGTGCCAATTTGTGCGTCAACAGCTACCAATGTCGACCTGCATTTCACTGTCGCAAACAAGCATCGATGGCCCCCAACGCCCAGCTGACTCCCAGCAGTGTACAATGCAAGTTTGGGTTTGGCTTGCAATAATCCCTATCTGTGACGCTACGTCAACACAAAGATGCAGAGCAGTCTCGTTTGATCGCAGGACAAATCAGATTCGTAAAATCAAGACTGATTGGCCCATTAAGAGTAAGGCTGCGTTCCGGTGACCCCTTGTTCTGGTGTCTGGCACTGGGTTTCTGGGAAGCGGAAGGCGAACCCCAGCCCCAAGCCCTGACGACCTCCCGATGGAAAGCACTTATGGTCTTATGGTGTTACCGGCTCCTCGGGTCTTCGAATCTAACCCCACAGTAATTAGTCGGGACACAAGTATCCATCTCACCTCCCACCATCAGCTTCTTCATCAGATACCTCGGAACTTTTCAGCTTTGCGTTTGCGGAACGCCCAGGCTCAGTGCTTCAGACACATTGCGTTCTTGAAAAATCCGGATCACAATTAGCTGCACGCACATGAGATCCAGCTTCCCAAGCCCATCGCAGTTACGCATCTCCGGTTAGTGGTAGCTTGCAAACAGAAGTTCCGTTAATGCCGGATCCACCATGATGCTTCGCTTGGATGCCACAACACATTCTTGAATCACCACTGTCTGCACGTTCCCACAGCGGGTGCAGTTGCCCACTTTCTTCTTGAACACGGTGGGCTGTTTCAAAAACCCCTATTCCTCAGATAGCGGCCCTTCCCCTGCAATTATCAGGTGCGTACGTATGTCTGCTCGAGCTAGAAGCAGCATCCGTCTTCCAGCACTATTCCGGCGACATCGGCTGACTACACTCTCTTGAACTGTTGCCAGACCAGGTTGCGTGGATGCCTCCTGCATCTCTTCCCTGTGAGGATGGCTGGCAGGCAAACGGAACATCTTTGTACAGGCTGACGTGTTGCTTCCACCGAGCCTTGTCCGACACCCTATAATGCCTAGATTCCACGAACCCTTTCGCCTGGAGAACCTTGCCCCAATGTTCGATGATTCTAGGCATGCAGCCGACCCATCTGAACGCCCGAAATCGCTATGGGCTTCTGGGTAGGAACCCTGTCGGCTTCCTCAAAGTAACGGCAACTAACCATCGCCTGGTGAGAATATAATTCCAGGTGATCAGCTCTGCGACCTCGGCTGCAGTTTTGCGACGAAAGGGAGGGCAATCGACCGCTTGACACTGCTTTGCCTGACCGCCTTGTCCTGTCTATCTTGGCATCCGAACTATGTCACAACAGATGGCTACTAGAACCCATGCGTCCAGCCTGGTCACAAGGTCCAGTCTTGCAGAAAACACGCGGCAAATTGCCGAACCACTGCGGAGCCTCTTGCCCAGACCTCAGGCCTCGAAACCCTTCCACACATGCAACATTGAAACCAGAAAGCTCAGGCTGTTGGGAGACCTGGGATCTAGGGGCGTGGCGTTGTGCATCCAAGAGACGGCCCAGTCCGATTTTTCGTTGCCGAAGGGGCCGCTATTGATCAGGAGGTGCTGGTCCACATAACCTCAGGAGCAAATCCACACGCAACCTCAAACCCTGTTGCAAGCGCATGTCGTCTTGAGATCTGGCTCTTGACAGATTGGAATACCGAAAAACCTGCTGAACCTGGGCGCAGCTGGGCGCAGTGGTTCTGGCACTCCGCCAAGGCTCGTCAGAAGGGAACTCTTCATCCAGTATCGCCCCCCTAAGGTCAGCCGTGCGACGATCCGTCTTCTGGGTTCCAACGTCGACACCTCCGCACAGGCGATCCCTGATATGAGCTACGCATCTCCTCATGTTGCTTGTGTTTGGGACCCTCATCGATCTTGGACATGCCGTGACATTACTCCGAATCGACGATTCCCCAAACGCGTTCAGAAATCTGAACGCCCGTTCTGTTCAATTGGCATCTGACAGCTTTAGCACGGGCAACAGAACCTCCGAATAACCTATTGTCGTACCGGGCAGGGGCATGTGCGCGTTCAGAGTTTCTCCGTTCTCCCATGCCGCAATAGATGTCCTTGCTTGTTTCCCAACCATTTGATCAGCGATCCTATTGACAGTAGCCCTGCGTGCAATCTTCATGCACCTCGGCGTCTTGTCCCCGTGGAACTTCAAAGAGTGCTGCTGGATTGCCGAGGATTCCCCTTTATCTGAGGCCAGAATGAAAGAGCCCCTTCTTCTTCTTCTTCTTTTTTCTTCTCTTTTTTCCACAAGGGCAAAGGAGCGTGTGAGGCTCCCTGGCCGCATGGGTCCTGCAGTGTTTGTTGGGCACACGGACCAGGTGTGAGAAAGTGCGCCGGAGTGTCCCCCTACGAAACACGTACCACGTACCCATAGTTAGAGCTGAAAGTAGAACATGAACAGTGGTCTGAGGGGGCTGTTCCGGTTTGTCAAGTATGACTTTGGGACACCATTGAATTTAAGACATGTGTCCCCCGGAGCCTTGTATCACGACAGAGAGGGTAAGGTCATCAAGTGAACATGACCCGAGTATCCTCCCGGTTCGCACATGTTTGAACCGTTCAGGTATGGCCGTTGCACCCTGGTTTCCCCCAGAGGATCACAGGGGACCGGTTTGCAGGAAAGAAGCAACAAGAGTGGTGACGATCGAAAGGTCAGAGCTCAAAAACTTTGGTCCCCGTGCGTCTTGAGACTCGACAGTTCGTTGAAGAACCTAAACTGCAGAACTAAGGCTCCGCCCTGGGGGTCACGAGAGTAAGCAAGCACAACCAACAACGAAATTGTGAATCGAAAAGCTGAATGACCAGTGACTTCGTCCCCCCTTGCCTCGACTCCAAAAGGTACGTGGTGCAAAGGCAGCTGAAGTAGGGCTCCGGCCGGGGATTGCAACTGCTAACTAGGAATACAACGCAAGCAAAGGCCAGAAGGGCAGGGTTCCCCGGTCGGAGGCAGGTGCTCCACACCCGCTCGGGCACAGCTTGTTCGGCGCACTGATGGGCTGAGGGTTGCACTCAGGCACTGCGAAAAAGACTGCTGACAAACGTAGAGAGCGATGACTCCTCTCCGCCGGGTGCCTAACAAGCCACCGTCTGCTACTAGCTAAGGCTGCACAGCTGAGGCTCCGGTCGCCGCATGTTTGGTGAGTGGATTGAAGCGAAATTGCCTCAATTCCCAAAGGAGGATCTCAATGGTTCTCTGCAGGTACCTTGGAAAGGACACTGAAGCCGATGAGCCTTGGGAATGCGAGTGGCGTTTTCAAGTTTCGCACTGTGACAGCGAAGGCCTCCTTCTCAGCAATGGAATGCCACGGTGTCATCAAAATGGCATCTCTGCCATGGCAACCTAAAGGAGATGGAGTGGACTCGACGTGATTGAGCACGACAACCGGGAGGCGAGTGATGAAGCGCCTCGGAAAAACGCCCGGGTTGCGAGCAAGCAAACGAGGATCTCTGCGGCCCAGTGTATGATTGCAGGAGTGATTCCCGCTTGCAAGTGGCTTGCTTCGATTGTTGGAGTTGACGAGGCCGTCGGAAAGGATGGCACAAAGACTGATGCCGAAGTGAATGAACAGGAAGGAGAACTCGACCAAGAAATACGACTCTCGGAGCCACTGCTGTGGGAAAGTGAGTTCCCTCCTCACGCGGAGAAGAAATGAACGCTGAAGGAAATGAAGGAGCAGACTGATGAGGCCCTGACTGTCGACGTGTCAAGGTATGGAAACACGAGACTGAGCTCAGGTGCAGAGTGGCTGCGCGTGGGTGATTTCAGAATGTTGAAAAACGAGTGAAGAGGACAACTTGTTTGCGTCGACACCCTCGCTTGTTACCATGAGATTGTTGCTCTGCATGGCAATGGCGAGAAACTGGGTCAAAGGGCATCACCCTTCGGGATGTCAGCACTGCCGCACACTGGCTTTCTGCATGCAGCAATGTCGGGTGAAGTGTTCGTTGGGCCGCGTCAAGAAATCTACCCGGAAGGCAAATGCCGCTGGAAATTAAAGAAAGCCATGCGTGCACGGACTGCGACAGGCGCCCAAACTGTGACAGGAACATTTCACCGAATCAATGACACTCAGGATATGTGAGAGTGATCCGAAAAGATTTGTACTCTTGCAAAAGTCGATGACCTGTTGGCTGTAGACGAAATGAGGAAGTCGCTCATGTCCCAAATGTCTGAGGAAGTGCTGCTCAAAGAGGCTGGACATCTTGCACCAGGGACTGAGCACACCTTCCTTGGAAGCAAGCTACGACACCGTGTAGATTCGATTGAAGCGTGCATGTCACAGACATACCTTGATTCAATCCTGGATCTGTATGGCATGAAGAATGCCACGCCTGTTGCAACGACTGGAACCGTGACGATCGTCAAAAACGTTTTGCGCCGGTCACGCCTCTGAGTCCTGCAGAGAGCACTCAGTGCGCAGGACTCCTGTTGGCGAACTGTTGCGGTTGGCACTTATCAGAGGTGACATTGCCTATGCGACGAAGGAGTTGAGTTTGAATGCGACTGCCCCGGCAATGCACAGTCTCGCTAAAGACTGCATCCTTCTTATCAGCTGTCTGATGGCAGGGATATGAATGTCTATGTAGACTCCGACTGGGCTGGCTCCCGCACGCGCACCAGCCGATCCACTGCGAATGGCCATGAGCGCAACGTGGTCAGCACTGCGAGGACTCAAGGCACACCGGCCTTGTCGTCTGGTGAAGCGGAGTTGTATGCGATTGGCCAAGGAGTGTCTGAGGCACTGTTCCTCAGGTCATGCACGCATCGAACTGAAGTCCACGCCGAGGGACTGTGTGAGTGAGCTGCTTCGATTGCAGTGACTACATGTCCTTGTGTGAATGCTTGTCACCTGTCAATGCAGACTGTCTTCTGCAGTGTAGAGTGCGACTGCATGTCATGAGTGTCATGTGCACTGTTGGTTTCCCGAGAACCCCAAAACCAAAGAAATGAGAGTGAAATTTCTTTGGTTGCCACGAAATGGAGGTCTGCGCAGAATTTCGAATGGGGTTCTCGCTGAATTTACAGACCTTTTTGTTGGTAGATTTTTTGCATCGAATTTGAGATGATTTTAAATTTTGACGGAATTTGGAATTTGAAAGGAACGTGAATCGATTTTATGCGACTTTTGAAGAGTGTGAGAGACTGCGAAACGACACTTGTGCTGCAGATTGAGATCAATGCGTTTCCGCTCGGAAATGTTGCTTAGCGTGACCGCCGACCGTAGACTGCTACCTCCTCGCAAGTGCACAGCAATGGCCCCGAAGACTGTTGCCGTGATGCAGCAGAATGCGCAGCCCATCCCGGAGGAAATGATTGAAGAGATTGATGGGAATGAGCTTGTTGCTGCCCTGGCCCAATTGAGTGGCCGGACTCAGGAAGAGATCCGGACTGAGGGCGCGCAGACCACACTGGTCTCAATGCACCTTATGGGCCAGATCCCTGAGAATGGGCAGGGCTCGCGCAGACTCGAAAATGAGAACGCAAGTGGCCCCGCTCGGATTGATGCTGCACTGGGCGTCACTGGTCAGACTGGTGCCGCAGCCAAGACTGCTCCCGCTCCGAACGCCTCGCAGACTGCCACGCCGGAAGTGCCAAGGACTGAGGTCGCCACCTGATCATGCAGGAACGGGCCAGGCAGTCGCGAGTGGGCGAGCACCAGAATAGACTGTGGGCCTGACATCACCAGAATTTGGATCCGACTCGACACATATGTGACAATGGTTCTGGAGAATGACAAGGAGTGCTATGTTACTGATGTGAATGATCTTGCCGACCGACTCCATGCTGCCCAGGCCGGATTGGCCGAGGCAGTGCTTCGCCGCGAATGGGATGCGGACACAAAGGGATGTGGAGTGGAGGACTGGCAGGATGTCGATTTGAGCACCCGGACGACAATAGCGATGACCCAATGTCCTCACTGAGATTGCGATGTCTTCGCTCGCGATCACCCCGATCCAGAATGTTCCGAATGAGTTCATGGTCGAGCCTGTTTGGCATGCAATGACGAAGGCCGAGCAACTGTTCTTGACCAAGGCGAAATGGCACAAGCTTGGCGAATGGTTTCTTCGAGAATGGCTGCTTGGATGTGTGCCGCTATCCTTGCGGCACGCTGAATGGGTCTTTCCGAACACGTTTTGAGGCAATGAGGAACTCGGTCGGGGTCATGAACAACTCGTGCAACCAGCGAATGAAACTGTCGAAATTATTTCAACCGGCAGTTTACGGATCATATCTCGACGCTCGCGTGGAATGGCCAGCTGAGTGAGCAATGGATTTGGACTCTTCCGAATGGGTCGATTGCCAGCATGAGCACAATCAGAATGCCCTTGACTGACATCATGACTGTGATTTCCCCGAAGTGCCTCCTCTGCCTCGACCGCAGCACCAACCTGGTGGAATGAAGAATGATGGGCCATCCATGGTGCCTGTTGTTCAAATGTATAGTGGTGGATTGGAACACTACTGTTACACCTGGGACCTGGGACGAACTGTATGATGGTGAGCCGAATGCCTGGAGCGCCCCAGCATGCAAGCCGACTGGATCCAATGACCGCCCCATCGCCGCATCTGCCATCGAAGAGGTCGCGAATGCCCTGAAGTGAGTCCAGTCCACCGAGTGAGCCATCGAATGAATGAATTAGGAATGTTAGAGTGATGCCACATGTTTGGGAAGAGTGAAGTCTTCGTTGAAATGTTGAATGGATGTTTTCTGTAGATTGCAAAGACTGAAGTTCTCGGGTTCAATGTCGAATGGAACGGCACCCGACTGCGTGCGATAGCCTGTACAGTGCAATGCGCCTCCACCTTTTGCACTGACAGGACTGGGCTCCGAGCTCAGCCAAAACGTCACGATTGCAGCCAATGGTCCCGGTTTGAATGTTTCTTGATCGCTTCGCGAATGCTGCTATGTACCGTTAAGTGTTTCAATGATCCCCGACTGAAGTCAGGATTAAGGGACTGTGTTAACTACAACCATGCCTAAAATGAACCCAATGAATTGGTAGGGTTGTCTAGTTGATTTGTTAAACTCTCTTTCTTTCTTTCGCCAGGGTGTGATTCTAAACTCTCTCTGTCTCTTTCTTTCTTTCGCCAGGGCTGTGGTGGTGGGGATTTACCCCTCCACCTGTCTCTCTCTCTCTCTCTCCCTCGCCCTCCCGAATGCGAAGTCGGTTTCTTTCTCGAGATGACCCTGAAGCAGGCCACACCAGATGGCCACTTACCCTCCCCTCGCCCACCGTCCACGAAGACGTACTTGGCACCGGGGGAAGCACACATTGTGAGCCACCTGCAGAGGAGATTTCCGAGGTGTTACCGTGGCCGTGGTATGGACTTCCGCTTCTGTCACTGCGATCGAGCCTGGGGCCAGGGTGCTCTGGTTGCCCGACTGCACCCTTGAACCCGGAAGCCTGTACCATTGCATCCAAGATCCTTGGAGCGAAACCCAGCAGGTCAAGCATCCAAACCCCAAGCTTCGAAGCCCTGCAAGCCCTGCAGGCGCACTTGGTGCTCTTCTTGCGGAGGCCCGTCGCAGTCTGCCAGCCTCGGTGCTCGCTTTCCGAGAAGGCAGCGTCTCCGTCTCACCCGTGACCCGTCTCTACTCTCGCCGACACATTCCCCCTTTCTGTCGCCTGCGCCCTGGACACTCTTACAAACTTCTCCAAGGCCACAAAACGCAAAACCCATGTAGTTATTGGGGCCGCCGGTGGCGCGGCCTGTCTTAAAGTGCTTGAAAGTGCAGTACAGTCACTTAGACTTGACGAATGGACCTGCGGTCGATAGAAATCTTAGAGCCTGAAAGTTCAAAGACTCGAAACGAACATGCAACTGTGACCCTCCAACCACATTGTAGAGTCGCCATCTGAAAAGGTCAGGCCCACCCCTTCTGCATGATGTCCAAGCAGGTAGTTGGTCGTGCTGCCTGTGGCATGTACAGCTCTTTGAATGAAACGATGCTTCATGCTCGCGAGAAACGGTCCTGCACGACGCCGTGCTGCAAAGCCGATGGTTTAGGACTCCGGTTCTCTGCGCCAGGAAAGAACTCACAACTGCGGGATGACGGTCAGCTATGCGGAAACACGATTCATTTTAGATAAAGGGTGACCTCAGAAGTGCCGGAATACATCTGTCACAGCCGTCAACCATGGGCTCAAGCTCTGCTCAGGCACCCTGGCACACCTCACCGAGGCTTTCACTCGTTCAAGCGTCTTATTGTGCGCTTCAAGCACTCCAAGGCCCTTGTCCTCAACTTCTCAACACGAACACGACGCAAAGCCTGTCAGGATTCGCCCTGTAGCCCCAGCAGAGAGGTAGCGTGTCACGGCGCAAACCTGGGCACTTCTTGATCACTTCAATTTCGAGTTCAGGGTCGAGCATTTGGGCTTCTGGGCTTGCGGAGCGCAGAACTCTTGAGTCCATTCTGGCAAAAGTTCTATGTTAGCAGTCGGGTGTTGCTTGGTGCTTGAAGGACACCGTTTGCAGGAAGTGATGCAGCCGCACTCTGCATTGCATGCCCTCCGCCCGGGTACATCCAGCTCCTTAAGATCCAACATGGTCCAAAGTCCAAAGCCTCCTGCAGCCACCACTGGTCTCAGCAAAGTTTCAAACACCAAACGACTTCAGACTCCAACTGAATGCAAACACTGGTCCTCCAGCAAACAAAGCCCATTCCGTGATCTGCCACGGACCGGGAGGCACTGGCCAATGACGAATTAGAAGCGACCCTGAAAGACCCGCCGAAGGGCTGAGTAGTGATCCTGCAAGACCTTCCCGAAGTCGAAAGCGTGCCCAGTATGGCCTGCGTAATTTGTATGTTACCTGGATCGCTGAGCAATGTGAACTCTCTCCTGGTGCTCAGCATGAGCTAATTAGCTTAGACGTAGAGTTCCATGGTTTGGGGACAAAGGTCCAAGTCCAAACTCCATGGAAATCTCAAGCCTGTGCAGGGAAGACAAGGACTTCTTCCAAGACGACCAAGTCTCCAAAACCCCGCCAGCGCGAAGCGCCCTGCAAAAGCCCTGCAATCCTCCAAGCTGCATGTTCCAGCCTTGGATGTAGCGGATAGGAGCCTTTGCTCCATAGCCGCGTGCTGTGTAAGCTACCACCTCAGCTGCAGCCCTTAGCCTTTAGGCTTCGAGGCCTTCTTCTGCCAGCATTGTGACATAAGTTTCGGGATTTTCGGGATGCTCGGTGGTCTGCACTCGGCCTGGGTTGTCTTCAGGTCCGCTCTGGCTGTTGGTGACGGTCGACTGCCAGACGAAGGGCGCCAATCAAGTGACATCGGAAACCAAACCCAGACTTCAAAGAAGTTCCGGACATCAGGCTCCTGCCTCAGATTCGGAAAACGAGCAATCTTCCGCAGCGAAGTTCTTGAAGTTCTGCACTTGTCTGCAATGCCACTCTTCTCGTTTTGTTGGATCTGTGGTATGTTGGACTGGGATGCCGAGTTCTCCGAGGCTCCCCTGTGTTCCACCTCATCAGAAGTTCACCGAAGCCGCACAAAGCCATGTCATGCATCGAAGTAGCTCCGGGTTAAAGCGACGGGCGGCGGTCGGTTCGAATAGAGTTGCAAGATCTCCGACTTTAAATCCTGAGAGACAATAACTCAGCTCAGCCACGCCGGTCCGGCGCCGAGCGGATGCGGTAAATTTGCCGACACCTGCAGTGGCAGGCTGAAAACCTGCTTGACCGAAAACGAGCCAATCAAGCAGAGCCTTGAAAGAAGAAAGACGAACGTCGCCCCTTCCCCTTTGACAAAGCTTATTTCACATCGGCGGCCCCCACTGCCAAGATGTGCGATGATCCCAAAGCCTCAGCCCCGGCCATACTCGCAGAAGCTTAGGTAAGGCAAGATTCTGCTTCGCCATACAGGTCCTGCGAGCCAGGCACCACAGTGAATGCTTGGTGAACGGCATCGGGAATTTGTTTGTCTTGAGGGTTTTCTGCTAGGTTCTCTCTCGAAGACACCTTGCTTGAGTAGCGGGTTCGGGCACTTGTGCGGTGCCATGTATGTTACTGCCGGACGAAAATCGGCAAACAGGCGCAGGAGTGCCCGAATCGGCCTGCACAAGTCCAACTTCTTTGTCGCTGACATCTCCGGGTATCGGATCGGGGATTCTGAGATACTCAGGCTTAACCACAGAGCGTGCCTGCATCCTCACTCTTGAACCAGGCAACGATCTTCTTGGCCGGGATCACGACCTGGCACGTCGCAAAAGCCTAGGGCATTCTGGGCCCGTGAATGCAACTTCGAGAAAAGAATCAAAAGGCACAGGGCTCTATGGTGCGAGTTCTATGAATGCAGACCTGCAGGACCGACCTGCCGTAATGGAAGTGCACAGGTGAGGCGAGTACAAATGTTGGATCCCACCATCTGAAACAACGTGCTGAGAAAACGACGAAGTGGAAGCCGGGTCCGACCCCGGACATCGACTGGAAGCCTCATAAGAGCAGGAGACACCTCCGAGGGGTGAGTCGGATACGGAGAGACCTTCAGCTGTCCTTTGTCAATCTGGCAACCTGAGGTCAGAGCTTCCACACACAGAGCTTGCGGCTGGGGGAGGCTAAGGACCAAGCTATCGTTAGAGGGGTTGGGACGGAAACTGCCTAGACTCGGCGGCAAGACGAGTTATCCACCACTACGACCACATGGATGTCGAACCCCATAATACAGTTAAAACAAAAACAACAACACTGAACCACTCGTGGCGTCAGCTGAGCAGCCACCGCAGTGCCCACCGCCCTTAAGCACCTTTCGTTCGAAGGGTGCGACAGGCTCGGGTATGCTCGTTTGTGCACGAGTTTGCACAACGCATCGACAAGCCAATTGCAGACTGTGAAAAATACCGTCAAGAAGCCTGCCTTCAGGAGGAAGGTGTCAAATAAAAGCTTCTCCTAAGTCGGCCCAGGTGCCATGGTCGTTGCACCGATGCATTCCTTGGAGACATCGAACGTCGACCGATGCCTGTGGACCACACGGAGAGAGCGAAGTGTTTCAAGGCTGCAGCCTAGTCGAAAGTGCCTGTGGCGTCGCCGGCCGCTGTAGACTGTCTGTGTCTTCCCGTTGCAGTGGACCTTTTGGGGGCAGGTTTCTGAAGCACAGGCGGGTCGAGCCCAAAGCCCAAATCCCGACACTCCGAACAGCGACAGCCCGGCCTCACATTTGGAGTACACGTGGTGCCCAAAGTTCACCTGCCAAGTTTGGTGCACCTTTGCCAACGCGTAGCCGACGGTCTTACATCCACGTTTCCCCATTCGAAATACGAATGGTTGTCTATCCACTTGACAGGTGACAAGTCTGCAGCCTCACCTCAGCTTTGGTGGTCTGAGGGTCGACCAATGCCGTCTATGAGTATCTACCATGCGTCACTGCTGACCACACTGATCCGTGGAACACTTGTACCCGTAATTCTGCCGTAGCCTTGTTGCCAGGCGCAATCTCGCCAAACCTGGCCGGAAGCAAGCATCGGACCGATGACTGATGCTTTGGGGATGCCAGGTCATCCTCAAATCCATGACCAGACCTACACTTACCAGACTCGCACCCACCGGAAATGCTTCATCTCGGGGTGATTGGCCTCCCGTGACGGTTTCGACGAAGAGGTTTAGCAAGACCCACTTTGCTCAAGCATCCTTCTCGACGGCTTCGCAGCAACGCATCTTGGACTCTGTTCAATTAGTGGCCTTGATGCTCTCTTTGAATACAAGATGCTCGGACCACAAGACAAGAACTTGGGATGCTTTGGCCTGTGTATGCCAGAACAAACCAAGGTTGGACAAGTGGCTCGTCCAATTTGATCGTGACTTGTCCGGCAGCCCAGTAGCGAGCCTCACTGCAGACACAAAAGCAGTGTCGGTAGTGTTAGCTAGTTAGTCTTGGGTGCTCAGCCTTTGGGAGTTGATGATGCGTAGGTTCTCCTCATTTCGATCTTGAAACTTGGGCGTTATGCGCGTGTAGAGGACAACGCTGCACTGTACACATTTCCTGAACTTCAGGTTTAGAGCACGGGACGGCTGTCCGAAAATTGACTGCGCAAATACAACGAGCTTTGTGTTGCCAGCAATGTGTTGTTGGCTCACCGGAGGAAGCTCCTTGCAAGACTTTCGGCACTGTCTGCTCCGAGCATCTGGACGTCAAGGTTGCATCAGCAAAAACCGTGGCATGTTCTGGTGTGCAGGTAAGTACAAGTACAAGCATAAGTATAATTCCAAGTTCAAGTACAAGTCTGAAAATGGGAATAAGTACAGGCGCTTAGCGATTAGGCACAAGTACATGTACAGAGATAGCCTCGGACTTAGCTCTCGCACTCAAATCAACGCTCACGCTCACAAGGCATGCAGTTTTTGCGAGCATCGAGCTCTTGCGATTGAATGCCACTGCGGTGCGAAATGCTCTGGCATCCGACACCCCCTGCATCAGAGGTCGTGGAGGCGCTGAAGCCCAGAAGGGCCAACCATGGTTGGCCCACTTGTCAACACGAAACTGTTTGGGATCCCAGTTCTCGACCTTTGCCTGCAGCTGGCGGGGCTTGGGCCTTTGCTGGACGAGGACAAGGGGGGCTCAACCGCCTCTCCCCAAGCCCAGCATGCTTACCCGGCTCCCCGAGCGATCTACCCTGTGCCAGTCTTTCTCGCCTTCCTCGCGCCAGGAACCTTTCGTATCTTTGGAAGTTGCGTGCATGCGGCCGTACACTTTGAGGGGTTGTGACGTTTTGCCCTGGCTCGCAATTCGCCAGAAAACGCCTTCTGCTTCGGAGTCTCCGAGTTCCCCATTCTTTGACGTCGCTCAAGGTTCTGTCCACGGAAAGGTCAAGGATGGTTTGTGTCCTGCGTTCACGACCGCGTTCCTTTTCAGAGCTTGCCATACTGTGTCATTCCCACCCCAGATCGCTGCCAGGTCGGCTAAGCTCTTGGACCGCACTTTTCCGGACGAGCAGATAAGTCATCGTTCCCAGCGTCCTGAACCCAACATGTATCACCTACCCCACTGGCACACAGCCCAAATAAAGTGTCCTCAGGCAACAAACCCTCTCTAGGCGTCAGGCGCGGCAGGAGTGCGCCCTGTCCTTGATGGTGCTCACTTCACCTTGGTAGGCAAAGGCAGTGCCAGGCAGTGCCGGGTTGAGGGACAAGTGCAGTTTGGGGCTCGGGACTTCGGGCCGCACCTGTTCCGGTTTCAAGACTGCAACGGAACTATCCCAAGCTGTCGAGTCTCAACCTACATCCGTTCCGCAGAGGAGAAAAGCGTATGGACCAAACCGTGAACAGGCACTGAGCCTCTTAGCGTCCCAGTGGCTTTTTGTCAGGGTCCTGGTCGGCATGAACTTGAACACCTGGGCCGGTCGGAGGTGGGAGTTTTTGAAGCAGCATCAGTGCCTCAACTTGCAAGCAGGAATTGTTGCCAGATCAGAAGCTTGATGAAACTGACGGCGTGCACTGACAGGCATATCTTTGGCATGATTCTCCAGAAACGCGCTACCGCCTTCGAGCAGCTGACAGAACGGGCTAAACGGACCCGAAATCCTGGACCGAAACCGAGCTCTGCATCCCGATGCCCTGCAGCAAGCTTTTGCAAACCCAGAGCAGCCTAAAATTCCGTCCCGGCCACCTCCAACCTGTTGCTCTTGAAGCCGCAGGTCCCTTCGGCAAGCACAGGGCTAGGCGAAGCAGTACTACAAGTTGTGGCGGACCGCCCGACCCAACAAACCAAGAACAAAAGGCAGGCCCGCCCGTGTCGGATTTCGAACACTTGCAAGGTTCACGAACGATCCCAAGCCCCTGGCTTTGTACTATTTGGATTGGGGGGGGGGGGGGGGGGCGAGGCAATAAACAGTAGAGCTGCGCAGATGCAATATGTCAAATTACCGCTAGGCCACTAAGCACCGTGTTGCTTCGACCAGTCATTTACATACACCTGCAGCTAGGGTAGCAATGCCAGTTGCAGATCGCTACACAAGTAAAGGTCAAGTTCACTGTTCACGTGTTAATGTACCAAGCATGAGCTACCAGGCTTGTCCGAAACGATCATCAGCATTCACAATGCAAAGCCAAGCGAGAACGATGAACCCACCGCGTAGCGTGTTCTATGCAGCTTATCGCACAGGATCCAGCGTCTGCACTAAACATGAAATCGACCTTCCTTTCTCTTTCAACAAGCAGCAACACTCAGCTCTCATAAGTCGCTGATTGCTGCTGCGTGTTTAGCGTCCAGGATGCAGTCGCTGAGGGTCTCAGGATGGGACTGGGGGAACGGCCTCCATTGCGGCCGCCTCCTTCGAGCCTGACTTTGCGAGCACCCTTGCAGATCTCCGGAATGTTCACCTGCACGTCTGTGCGCATTCTGTGGGAAAAGTGCTTTCTGTCTTGAGCTGCGACGGCACATGACCCGAAGTTACATGCCGCAAGAACCCGAGCAAGCGTGCGCCCTGAAGTGACGAAGTAAGTTTGTAGACATTGCACTGCAGCCTTGAAGCCAACATGGGAGCGATTTATTCTCGCAGCCGAAGTTCTAAAGCTTGTCGTTCTGATGCACTGCATCTCTACAAAGCTCCTTGGGAGCTTTCCCTCCCCCTTCGTTCTGCTCTGTTGTCGGTGCCGCCAAGAGGAACTCTACGCGTCGTCCGGACAGTGAGCCTCGCGGTCTTTGTGGCCGATGTGATCGTGGTATTCCTGTCGCCGAAACGTTACAGTATCGAGGGCATCGCATCGTCGGGGCATCCCGACCTTCCAGACGTGTTTACAGCATCCACCCGAGCTCTGCCTCGACTTACAGCGCAGTGTGCGTAAGGACTCGGACTCTTGTCTGCAATAGAAGCTGGGACTCGTGACGTGACGTCTGGTTGCGAGCTCGCTTGAATCAAACTCCGGAAATCGAAGTGCCCTCCTAAATGGCACGAAGCCGTAACAACGTCTCATGTCTAGTTGGTACCCATGCTAGCCCAAAAACTCTCTCGCTCTTCTTTGTGTAGCACCCGAGCGACTGCCTTGCAGTCTTCTAGACCCCGGGTCCTCATGCACCAGCACATCATCGCAGTAGATGCGGCAAGTGATCTTCTCCGAGTGCTTGCTGATGACCAATTCTTAGCTGAGCTTCTGCTGCAAGTTGGAAACGAGGCTTGGCCGTTCTGGGTTGCTCTTGTCGAAGGAAATTGCTGAAAAGGAAGGACTTCACGGTTACGAACATCGGCAGAGCCCAGTGAACCCAGTGTTCCCAAATCACCGAAGCTGAAGCGAACGGAGGGGCTCCGGATCGGGCTCGAGTTCAAGGCGCTGCAAAAGAGCTTTGAAGCTTAGGACTGCGGCTAAGGACTACATGGCTACACATGCAGCCAGGCTGTAGCCCATGCAGCCCATGCAGGTGCAGCTGCTTGCAGCGATCTTCACGGCTGGTGTCATTTGCGAAGTTGCTTTTTAGGCTCATACAGAATGAGTGCATGTCGACAGAGATCGCAACGAGACGGACGATCACGATAACAGTTGCCAGCAGACAGCGAAACCAGGAAGGCTCAGGAAGGTATCTGCACAACAACCTGCAGCGTTCATTCAGATGGGAATCGTCTTGAAACCAAGGATAATACTCTGATCCGGATCGTCTCAGTTACGAAAGAGGACAATGTGGAGAATCCATAGACCAACGTCGGAGATACACACGGACAGACCAAAGAAGCGAAGGAGACACGATCTTAGCCGAATTCAGTTCCATCCCATTCATGCATGATATGCCCTTCGCAGTGACTTTTCGCATGTTGTTTACTGATCCTGTCTTTTTCTTGCGAAATCTTCGCAGTGTGTTTGGGCCAACAGTCTGGGCATGCCGGCGGGTGTTTGGTATTATGAACCGTGCGGTCACCGAGGCCTAAAACTTTCTTGTCTGAAATGGTTGTCAGCCACACAGACTCATATAGTCATAGAGGCATCCCGGAACGTCGGCTGCAGCCTCTATTTACCACCGCGTCTTTCACGCTCTCTTTATCCGCATGATGAACACAGCGAGATAAAGGCGGCCAGGTGGGTTGGGAGACGAAGATGACGACTTGGCGCTTGAAGGTCAAATGAAGAACAGAGAAATAGACGGTGACGAGACTGTGTTCTGACTAGGCCGAGGATATTCCTCCTGTCTGACTAGTACACCCGGCGGTCAGGTGCCAGGCCCCATGTCATTCGTGACACACCATGCAATCCCAGCATCTCTAGTGCTCCCGATTCTCAGACCATCCAATGCTGTTCGAGTGTCTCTACCTTACTTACTTTGTCTTGCATTGTGCACAGACTCTCCAGACGCTTTGCGAAATGAATCTCAGCCGGCAGGCGAAGCATTTTCAAGCGCAAATGGTAAGCTTAGTCAAGTGCTAACTGACTTCCTGAACTGATTGTTCAAAATGCCATAGCGAACGCCTTTGGTAGTAACATGCCACGATTCGCATGTGTGTATTTGCGCAAAATTTAGGGGCCCTGTGGTGTGTTCAGCGCCTGCCCGAAGTTCACAAAACTCTGTCGTGATTCCAGATTTTGCTACACAAATTGGTGTCCAGAAAAATCCACTTTGCACGCTTTCTTTTTGCATGTGCCGCGTTGAAGCTGGAAATATGCCATTGGCTCGTCTTCCACACCGCCCACATGCAAACAAAAGGGAGCCTCTTTGCGGACGGTGATGCTAGAACAACAGTGGCCACAGTTGTTTGCATTGTCACTGGCGGAGTTTCGCATATTACATGTGTGCCGATGTCTTGACACAAGCATGTGCCACGATGTGCCAGGGGCAAGGGTATGAATGACACCAAACTCCAGAGATGCAGCTTGGCCCACTCAGTGTGGACGCAGGCTTCATGTTTGACTGCCACTTGATGCAGTCACTGCTCCAGCACCCAGCGTTGATGCCGTAGGTATGCGTACAGCTCATGAATACCAACACCCTTATACGATATATGATATGTGTGTACATGCCCCCCCCCCCCATGCCCCGGCTCCACAGCTGAGAGTCCCATTGAACAACCACATCTTGATTTGTTTTCGATGTTCGGCTGAGTGTGTGGTTCGATCGCAAAGCAATCTGCCAAGTATTGCCATGTGGCTGCCGCTCTTCAGCGTGCCGTGCTGTCGGAAGTCTGCGGTCACTGTGTCCAGGGCCTTCCGGGTGCGTCTCGTTTTGATGCCGGATCTGTGCAAAGAGTGCAGACGCACTTCTGGCATTTCTTGACCACTGATCGTGTGGAACGAACCTGCGGATCTCTACGGTGAATATCTTAGGGTCTTGCTTCCGCTGACTGTCTCATGTCTGATCCTTTCCTTCTTCACTCTGTATCCCTCCGGAATCGGACAAGCTGTGTTCTTGACTTCTGTGTACTTCGCAAGCCTAACTCTCAGCAAAATCGAGTGCACCCCAAGTCACTGCTCGGATTGAAAAGCAATGTCGGCTGACCATTTGGTGTCGAACACAGCTTTGCCAACTCGGACCATTTTAGAACACTGTCCAAAACTGAAAGACTAGGAACGACTAGATACAGATTTCCCAGCGATTTTGTAACTCGAGACAGCTCTGCCTGCATGGCGCTGGTGCCGCTGGCCTGGCATGGATCATCGACTGCTAGAACTGTGAGGATCATGGGATGGATTTCAACATAGGTTGACAATAACCAGGCTGACACAGCTGCCGGGCCTGCCCGGGTTTGAGCAGAGCCTCTTTCGGAATCTTGATCTTGCGGTTGCCAGTGTCCGGTCCCTGGTACATGACCTTGAACACCTCTCCACCCCCGTGCTCGCCTCATGCAGAACTCTGCTGGATCTCTGTCAAATACTATCAGCAGGCTTCAAAAGGCTTCGAGAAACTTTCAGGACAGGTCGCACATGTCGGCGTCCAGCCTGTGCCTGCCCGCGCTCATCCACCACCAGCGGCTGCCACGCTCCCTCTCGCCGTGGCAACCGTTGTTGTCGACGACCCTGTGCCCGCCGACGTACAGAAAGGAGCCTGAACAAATTGCGCTCCTTTCGTGAGGAACGCGCTCACCTTCGCTTCACGTCGTATGCGTGTGCCAAGACGCCGTCGTCTGAGGCAGTCCAAAACAAGTAGTTGCCCGCTTTCCTGATGACCAGGTAGCCACTGCACCTGGAAAACGCGGGATAACGCGGGTGCACGGAGCTGCGAGCACAATCACGACGTATGCACGTTGCTGCTAAACACCGGTGCCGCTTGCGGCTGAGAGTTTCTCTCCGCCTCATGCAGAAGGCGTTGCCGTGACGATGGGCAGGGAACTGGCCGTTCTCCTGCACAAGCCCATGTTGCCCGATGCTTCAAGACCAAGACAAACAAGTTACAGCATGGCATGTCACCAGCTGGCCACATCCCTGTCCATCCAAATGTCCGGCACGGTCACAGTGTGATGAGCATGCCTGGTCAAACAAAGCGAAACACATTCTGCTGGTAGCAGGTTGCGGGCATAAGGAGTCTCATGTGCGGTAGTAACCAGTAGTGATTCCTTTTAAGCCTCACTCGGATTGTTCAGCTGCGAACATACGGATTGTGCCAGAGCTCCATTCCAGGCAAGCAGCAGGGGGCCCAGATCTGGGAGCCAACAGTGATGCCGGTGGTAGATGTATTTGCACTCCAATCCGGCCTGAGAGACTTGGGGCCAACTATGAGATGCTTGGATAGGTCTGGATGATTCCAAACCACAGACAAAAGTCTCGTTACGTCCCGTTTCGAACTCGGAACCCTGCACAACACAAGCGTCACTCCCGCGCCTTCTCGTGCTTCAGGACTGACTGTGGGACTTTGACCTTGTGGTTGCCGGTGTCGGGCCCCTGGTATCGCAGCTTCATGGCCTCACCACCGCCTTTTTCGCACATGTCCACTCCCACCAGGTGGTAGCCGGGCGTGAGCCACTGGTTGCCGCTCGTCCGCTCCCGTTCGCCGTGGCAGCCATTGTTATCGACGATGCGCCGCCCGTTCAAGGACATGAAAGAGCCTCGGCAAAAAAGCATGTGTGCCATGTGCCTAACCTTGAGATAGGGCATTCCTCGAAAAAACTGATACATCCAAAGTCAACATTGTCCTCGAACACTGAGCGCTTTTGACTTCACCCTGCGTATGCGCAGAACACTGGAGGAGTCGCTTCGAGCCGCTGACACATTCTGTGTGCCAGGTCGCCGTCATCGGATGCAGTGGTGAACTTGTAGTTCCCCTCATTCGTGATAGCAATCTGGGCAGTGCACCTGCAAAGACACGTCGCTTTCGCTAAGTCAACGCCGGCGGCCAAACTTTGCAAGCTCGGCGTGCTGTTGCTCAGAAATCCGGTACTAAGGCTTTGCGAGGTGGGACCCGTTGCGAAGGATCGGGGATCCTGGGGATCCTGGGGATCCTGAAGCCTGACGGCTCGACGAGACATGCTGCACATGTGCATGTGCCGACAGGTGATATACTCTATCCAAGCCCTGCCTCATACAGAAGTGATCGTGGTGGTTGATTCCCCAGAAGTGACCGTTGTTCTGCGCGGAGGTAGGCTTTGCAGCAGTTCGGACTGCAGACTGGGCGCGATTCGAGGTGCAAAAGCTGCAACACAATGATTCGGGGACTCATGAAAACAACTAATTAATTTGCGAAACCATCAAGCGCCAGCATTCTGACAATTAGCAGGCTTCCTGCGAGCATGCAGTCTCGTCTGACTCTATTTGCCACCCCGGTCCATGTAGATCTCTGGCACGGTCACCGTATGGGACGGATTCCTTAGGATGGCGTTTGCAATGGGTGGAGGAGACCCCTGAGCCAAAGCCGGCCCAGCCGAGCAGCAAAGCCTCGAAAAAAGGCAGTGATCGAATATTACAGCTTGCCCGGCTTACCCTGTAGGGCTCCTGTAGGGCCTTGCTTTTGGCAGTGTGGTTTGCATAACAGACAGGAATTTTGCGGCAGACAAAACTGGATATGGGGCCCACCTTAAAAGCTTGAATCCGGCCTCTGGATTGTTAGAAGCTGGAGATCAACGCACATTGACACATTCACAATCGACTTGAGCCTGAAGCCGAAATAGCCCCAACTCGGTGAGCCCCCATCGGAATTCAATTTCCCACTTCTCAACGCTCTCAACGCCTGGAACCATTATGCCTAAAATCCTGATCTGAAGTCCAGTCTAGGATCACGTTGTCAAGGTTTGGCACCGAGCAATGGTGCTGGCCGTAATAGTAATTACACTCTGCACCGTCCTGGTGAGGAATCCGTGACGAATAGAAGGATTCAGAAGGATTGAAGCACATTGAGGGTTGGGCAGAGCTTCGTATGAACTGGCCGCCAAGGCCAAAGCTGCCAGGACATCTATCCACGGGGCCAGGCCGAATACTCGCACCATTAGCCCTACCACACCCTACGCCGTCTGTATGCGAAGCTCGAAGCTCTCGATTCAATTGGATTTCAAGAAGATGTTGGGGTTCATGAACCAGCATCTCGGGAGAGAGCTCGTCTGCACGACGTATCAACTGCCGTGCCGACCACCCGACCTAGACACGAATTGCCACGACCGACATCTACAGCCGGGTCCTTCAGGTCCACCTCCGTGGCAGCCTAGCAGCATGAAACGAGTTGCACCCAAAGCTCCGGCGACGGCCCCAGCTCCTCGCTCTGCTCCCATGGACAACAGGCCTTCTCGTACTTTAGGGCAGATCTCGGGATCGTGATCTTGTGGTTACCAGAGTCCGGCCCCTTGTATCGCACCGTGAAGGCCTCGCCACCTCCGACTTCACCTGGTCTCGGATCGGGAGAACACGATACGACCATATGACAGTCAGGAGGTTCCAATTGGGCCCCCTGGGCCTTGGCCATGAAACCCTGCAGATGCTCTTCAAAGGCAGCTTATGGGCAAGCATGGGCTTAAGCCGAAGCCGGGCAGCACATGTCCGCCACCAAGCGGTGCCGTCCTGCTTCCAGCCACTTCCGATGACTCCCCCTCTCCCTATTTCCGTGACAACCGTTGTTGTCGACGATCCTGTGCCCGTTTAAGAACAGGAGGGAGCCTCAGACCACAGCAACGAGGCTCTCACTTCGCATGCTGCATTGCAGGCAGGACACCATCGTCTGAGGAAGTGTAGAAATAGTAATGGCCTCTTTTCCTGATATTCAGGAACCCAGCGCACCTGTGCAGAAAGCTTGGGCTCGCGATTCGAACCTTTCTTCATATGTCTGTTGCAGATACAGTACGCCAACATGGCGCGGCTCTTTTCAACGATGAAGCTACAGCCGCCCACCGCCACATGCACCAATCTCCCACCTGACGCAGAAGTGATCATGTTGGCGGATGCCGGGAAACCCATCCACCTGGAGATCAGGGCTCGCGTGCAACGCTTGCAACGTGCCATGTCCCGGTCCGTGGAGGCCTTCGGCACAATCACGTGGTGCTCGGGTGTCCTCGCAACGCATCGTGGGGAGGCTTATGGATGGGGTTCCGCTTCTGTGTTTTCTCTTGAGTGGCTCCACGCCCAATACAATGCTTGATGCCAAGCGTCAGTGTGCCAAGGTCTGGCACATTGCAGTGCGACTGGTGGTAGTAGTAGGAGCATTGCAAACCATCCTCATCACAAAGCGGCGCAAGGTCTGCGACGTGAAGGAATGCATTTGTGTCGCATTTATTCATCTTGCATGTGGCAAGCTCCACTCCCGAGCCCAGAAACGAAGATCTCTTCAGTTGGCACATTGAACGGCAGACCTCCTTTGGACTCTCAAGCCAGAGAAGCCTCCACCCCCAAGGTTGCAAACACTATCCTTAAGCTTAAACGGCTTAATCCCTTTAAGCTCTGCTCGAGTATTCAGACTTTGCAGAAGCCTGGAATTCTGAAAGCCTGCCGCGCAGAAGCCCCATATGACGCTACGTGCAGAGACTGCGGAGCCTGGAGGACCGATGGCTTCCTCGCCTCGCCGGGGTTTTCGGGCGAGGGCCTAGAGGGGGAGCAAATCCATCCTTGCATAATGCACAAGAGCCACGAATGCCCACCAGATAGCAGATTCAGGAATGCAGAATCGACTCAGAGCTTGGTTGAACTGACATAGCAAAAAAAGACACGCTGTCGAATGGCTTAGAGTCTTTAGAGTGGTCTCTTTGGCAGCCAGACTCAAATGAGGCGCTCCTCGAGCATTGGGCGGCCGGGCCCCGAGGGCCCCGAGCGTTCTCTCTGTTAGAGTGTGGCTCTTCTCTTCGTGTGGCTACAACTCTGACGTTGTCAATTCAACGGCTAATTCTTTTAGCGTCTCTCGCCTTACGCCGCAGCTCTTTGACATGGTGGTCCGTGATCGTCTGCGACCTGTAGCTGGCGAGCGTCTCGAAGGCTTCCTGCTATTGCTGCTTTGCTGTAGGCTTCTATGGTCCAGCGTTGGTTGGTTGGGCTTTGGGGGATCAGGCTGGGTCTTGGAAGATGCGAGCGTGCAACCGCGTCACAACACAAGGCCGACTGGAGCAATCATGAACCCTGCCCGAGACCGCCTGAGACCCAAGCTCAGGCAGCTTTGGCTGCGGCACCGCTGCTCGGTAGATCTCCATTTCGAGGAGGTGCATTCCATGCTTGGCTCGGCACGGCCAAGAAGAACTTCGGAATTAAGTGCGATGTAAACCAAAAAATCTCATGTGCAGGCTCTCTTGAAAGGACAATGACACCTTCATTGCCAGGACTTGCCAGGCCAGACAATTCAATCGGTAGGCAAACCGAAACTGCAGGACTGCCGACAACACACTAGGACGGCTCCGGCGTGCAACATTGCCCTAATCCCCTATCAGTTGAATCTGAATCCTTAGGGTGCTATCATCGTATTAATGTTCATGGACCCAGGCCAAATTCCACCCAGGGACGTTGAAGTTGTTCCTGCTGGCATACATGCGCACATAGCGACCCTGAGAGCAGGGGGGATGCTCGGACGGGGAGGCCACTTACTTGCAGAGTGGAGTGTTCACAGCCTGAACATTATTGAGAATTGCTGCACTTCCTCCAGCTCTTGTGTTGGAACTCTATGAAGCATCGAAAGAAGGCTAGCTTTATGGTGCAGCGCAGGGCACGACTTGTGAGCCGAGGTTGAAGGTGTTACCTCAGGTGGCTCTTGAACTTTGACGTAGGTGTGCACTTGCAGAGATATGGTGCATTGGACGAGGGAGTCAGGAAGGAAACCGATTCAATCTCTCGGTTCACTATGCCGTGCCGAGCTCGAGGCATCAAAGGGCTGAGCGCAGAATGGCTTGACAGGCAAAGTCTAAAGCTAAATTCTTTGAGAAGCTCGACTCGACAGCTCCAACCAGCGAGGCTAAACTGCTTCAGCCCTACCATGCGTGTTGCTGGCCAGACCCCCAACATGAAGCTCGAAATTTACAAACAGGTTGCCATGGCCATGCTCCTTTGCCTTCCAATTGTTGTTGTGGTACACGGTTCTCCTTCGAAGCTGGCAGCTTCACAAGACTGCGGCATTTCTCCTCACAGGAGACTTTCCTTCAAACCGACAAGTTGTTGCTCTGCACAGGCATAATTCTTCAAGCTCCCTCTCTGCGGAATTGTCCTGTAGGGCCAAACTGGCATGACAGCCGGAGCGGCTGGTGTCATCAGCTCCAGACACTTCATGGTCTTTGTTTGCAGGACTCTCAGGAATGCGGAGGCAACACCCCATCAAAGCAAAGCGCTGGCCACTCAAGCAGACAGCCCTCCCCGACCCGAGAGCCTCTAGCCTCCACAAGTCCCATCCCCCATCCGAGGAAAAACACTGCAACACGATGTGTCGGTCCAGTCTTTCTCGTTGTTGGACACCAGGATTTTGTGGCCTTAAGCATCTCAGAGCTCGCAAAATCTGAGTTTCAGTTGCGATTTCCCCTCAAACCATCGGAACCATGGCACAAGGTAGGACACACAGGAGAGCCCCCAAGCAATGAACGCATCTGCCCAGGCCGGGAGGCCACAGTATCTGCGCCCATCAGCGTAGCCTTGACTGGAATGGTTTCCATCGTGCAGCATGAACTAAATGGGGCGAGGATCTGCGCGACAGGCACGTCCTTAGAACCCGATGCATGTCGATCTGAAACTTTCCTGCCTGTTGCCGGCATTGCCTCACAAAGCGAAAGATGCCCACAAAGCGACCGTAGTCAGAGGCAGCCTTCGGGACCATGTGGGGTGTCAAGAAACCACAAAAAAAACAGTGCGGCGAAGAGGCCAAAGAGCTTCACCTGATCAAACTCCTTGATCGATCCGAGGTCAATCTGCAGTGACAACAGCTTGATTCTTTCTCGGGTAGGTATTGCGGAAATTGATCCTCTTTTTTGATGTCCACGGGTCAGCAGCAATAGCTCTTGCTTAAGTGTAAATCATACGCTCTTAGAATCTCACAGCTCGAAGTCCAGGCCCAAGGCTTCATTTTCCACGGGTCAAAGGTGAACAACGAAAGGGAAGGGTCAAATTCGAGTTTGGCGGTTCAGGTGCTCCCGATGCTTTGCCTGGACCCACTTCATCTGGTGGCAGTGTGCAGACTCTGCATGAGGGGATTGGGTCCACCTCAGTCGGTGCAGGTCTCTCGCTTCCTCACCTCACGACCCTCTTGCGCTCAACGCTAGATTCCAGCTTTGCGGAACAGCTCCGTCCCATCCTGCATGAAAAGAACTGCAGCACAGGTGCTTAGGCGTACTCAAGACCTTCACAGGCACAGGAAGGCAGGGAACAACGCCGTCAGGACCTCCAACCGCGCTAGACTTCCCTTTCCGCCCTCAGACCGAGGCACAGGTGTCCGTGCTTGCGGCCATCCACCAGAGTTTTACCGCAGGCCCGAACACCAGGGCCGCACTTCACTGGCCTCGGCATTTTTACTTTCTAGGGATCTTTATGCGTGGTCGTCTCCCTGGTGCCGGCTGAAGCTGGAGCATGTCAGTCCCCCTCCCCCTCCCTCATAATGCCCGAGGCGCCTCAGCGCGGCACAGTTGCCGATACAAGGGTTCGCGGTGGACTGCAAGGCGAGAGAAGGGCAGGGAAGCGTTTGGAGGGGAAGTCTTGACCCACCGGTCTTCGTTGTGAGGGAAGAAGGCTGGGTCAGACTGAGAAGGAGCTGCCTGTGTCAGTGGAAGTATAATAGCCAGATGACCCTCCAAGGATAAACTAGTGCCTTGACCCATGTCTTCGCGCCAACGAAGTTGACCATGTTCCTTGGCATGTCTTAATATGACAGGCGGCTGCGTGGTCACAATGGCGATCATGATACATGGTGACGGAAGGTTTTTCATGATGACGGTGATGACGATGGATGATGACGAATCAGGACAGATGACGACGATGATGACTATGACGATAACGATGATGACGGTGGTGACGATTATGACGACGAAAACACAACTGATAATGACGATGATCGTGGTGACGGTAATGATGATCATGCTGGCGATGGTGGGCACCGTGATGATGATGATGGTGATGATGATGGTGATGATGATGATGATGATCACAGCGATGCTGGCGATGATGGTCAGGACGATGACGATGCTAAGTAAGGACTGGGATAGTGATGACTATGACGATGATAATGAAATAGATGAAAAGGTGACGACGACGATTATTATTGTTATGATGATGATGATGATATCATCATCATCATCTTCTTCTTCTTCCAGCGCAGCCGGGTCTCTCACCAGCTAGCGGATGCCGTACAAGACACATATGCGTCTCGGCCGCTGAGATGCGGCTGGCACGAATGCCTGTGGACAGGCGCGCACTCGTTTAAGTGGCCTCCACATGCCAAAAGAGCAGTTAAAAATTTGTTGGCTGATCGAGTCGGGGGTGTACAAGGTGACTCTGAACTGCCAACCGCTGACCGTTGGTCTACTCATCCATGGTTTCAAGTGCAATTGGTAGCTGAGCAGAGGTCGCCTTATTTCGGCCTGTCGTAGACAAGCCAATTGGCAGGCGAAGCAGAATGCTGTGCATTCTGCCATCAAGTCGATCCATGCGCTCTTGCAGAATATCCATGTCCAGGGCCATCTTGCGAACCCAGACTTCCAGAAGGTAAATCTGGCTGGACAGGTGCCGCTCCTGTGGGGTGTACTTGTCGCTCCCGTAGATGTCCGGTATCTCCAGAAGCTGATGCCCCCGATCCATATGGATTTACTGCACCTTCTACACTTGTGGCTGGAGGAGAGCTGCGGTTCGGGGGTTGCGAGCTTTGACACAGAATCAGAACATACATGGTGGTTGAAGTGAGGTCTGCGTCATCCGAAGTGGCCATTTTTGGCTCCGCATCATCATCAAGGACATAATCTTGGCTACCCCTCACCATCACCGTGTAGTGACCTGAGCGGACTGTGTTCCCGTGATGGCGAATGATGAGGCGCACGAAGTACGGATGCCAATCCACCTCTGCGGTCCCTGCTTGTCGAAAACAAGGCATGTGCACCAGGCCTGGCAAGAGGTAGGGTTGGTGGGTTTTAATCAATCTACCCCTCTTTGTCTGGAACCTGGGCAGTTGCAAGTACAACCACGGAGGAGCGGCTGTCAGCGCACATAGTACATCCTGCATGTGCCAATGCCTGATTAGGTCTTGGATGTCAGGTGTATGCAGGACCGGGGGTGGAAGGGTAAGGCACTTATTTAGGGAACCCGTATGGCCTACTTGGGGCACCGCTGTACCTGCCTCAGTTTGCTGTCGTCCCTGCCAGTATGCCCCACCAGCCTGGACCACCTTAGGTGCTAGGAAATCGAGAAATTCAGCAACATCGTGTTGACTTTGGGCGCGTGGCCAGCCCATCAGGAAAAACCCCAGCGAGCGCCGTGCTCTTATGCCCCGTCCTGCGAGAGTTGCAATGGTGGGATGTAACACTGTAGTCTGGTCAGTAAAAGCAGCCGCCAGCCAGAGCGAGTAAAGCAGTGAGTTGACATAACACGCGTTACCATCATTTATGAGGCTGAAGGGCGGGGTACTATCAAGGGAGCTACTGGAAGCAGTTGGGGTGATGCTGGTTGCGCCTGTGTGATCTTTCACCGCCGGAAGGCGATGCTCGCCACTTGCTGAGCCAGTTGCGAGCGTTTGAGGGTGGCCCGCTTCATCGATAGTCCCACTAGCTGCAAGGCTGACAACCCTATGAGCTGGACGAACTTCTCGTGGACCTGGTTGGAGAGGGAGCCTCTCAGGCTTATCGACAAGAAGAAGGACGCCGTCGTCGCATTCTCCTCCTCCAGATGGATCAACCGCTTCGTTGAGTTGAACTTCTGGGTGACGTCGCCCTTCAAGTTGATCAAGAGGAAGTCGATGATGTGGAGGAGGTCTTGCTGGGTCATGACTCCCGCTTCCGGGTGTTGCACCAGTTTCTTCGCCTGGTGGCACCACCGTTGCTTGGTCCAGTTGTTGTCTGCATTCACCCAGCCCGCAGCTTTGAGCTTGGCCAGGCCCTCGGCGTCCTCCATCATGCTGACCACCCGTTCCCGGAACTGCTGCATGAGGCAAGCAAGGAGAAGGGTGCGGATCGGCGTGGTCGTCTCGGCTGTGCCCTCGTCCTGCTGCCGCGTCCATTCGCGAGCCACCTGGTATAGTCCCGGCAGGACACTGATCTCGTCCTCCCTGAAGTAGAGCATCAGGGATTTGTCCATCCTTAGCTCGTTGAGGAGGTCCTCCTGTCTCAGCATCATTCGTGCCAGAGTTTGCAGGGGTTCGCCGGTCGCGGCCGGCTGGGCTGAAGAAGGAGTGTAGTGTCGCCTTTGTCCTCGTCGCTGCTGGGAGTCCTGACGCTGGCGCTTGTTGGGTTTGTCCTCCTTGGCGGTCTCCTTGTTGGTAGGAAACTTGGCTTGTTGTGCCACCATGCAATGACGGAAGATGTCGGCTGCTGGATTCAGCCCGTGGCCGGAGTCCGTCTCCATGGTCATGTTGGGTGGGAAGCTCCTGTTCAGGTTTGGCTAGTTGATTTTGTTGTTGCTCACAGTACGCTGCTGCCAGGCACAGTTGATACAAGACTGGGCATTGTGCAACATGCCGGCCTGGAGTCCAGACCTTGTGGCCACACCACTGGCACAGACTGTTCGTGACAAGCTGGCTCTTAAAGGGCTTGCAACGTGCAACAACCGTATCATGCAGGCTGGCTATCTCGGCTGAGTGCTTCTTTCGCAGATGTTGCTTGATGTGAGGAATGTCAATGATCCACATTTGACACAGGACACAGTGCTGCTTGAGTTCGTCACGCAGCACTGGATGCGCAAGCAAGTTGTCCCAAGCATGCCAAGCTTTCTGAAAGAAGGGACGCAAGACAAGCGGAGTATTTTGGGGCACCTCCGTCGCCTCGGTGGGCGGGGCTGTCTGCTCAGGTGGCGCAGGCCGCATCTCCACATCTGCGTTCGGATGTTGCTTGAAACTGGCTCCACCTAGCACGCGACATGCCCCCGCCTCAATGTGCTGCTGCAGATTTTGCCATTTGGCGAACTTCCTGCCACATAGTCGACAGTGCGGGAGACCGCCAGTAGCATGTTTGGTCGGATCAAATGCTTGCGCCTGGCCGATAGTACCCTTTTCCTCCTCAGGATGGTGCAGGCCATGATGTATCTGCAGGGCATGCCTGGTGGGGGCTATATGTTCACAGAACTGACATGGCCATGGTTCCTCTTCTTGCTGGTGCATAGTTGTCTCCTGGGCGGACTGCCTGGAGGAGAGCAGGGCATGGAGCTGCTGCTCCATGTTCCTCACATGATTGAGGAGTCCAGCCTTGGTGGTGACGTCCGGGTTTTGGTTCGCCCGAGCCTCGAGGACAGCCCGAAAGCGTCCGAGTGCCTGTAGGGTGCGCTGACCTGGCGGTTGGACGCTCGCTTGCTGCCATATCTCTGCATTGGTCACTTTGGTAAGATGCGCTGGTAATCGAAGAATGGCTCTTAGGTGCTTAAGGGTCCTAGTTTCGAGAAGTTGGAGACTGTTATCATCCAACCCAACAGCAGGCAGGGAGTACAAGAAGCTTGTGTTGACACACGCATCCCAGAGTCTGATGCGATGAGCAGCTGTCATGACATGCTTGCCAGTGAGGGTCCGCTGTATGGAGTGATAGCGGTGCTGGCCACATTGCATCCGATGCTGTAGATTTTTCTCTTTGTGGTTGCGGTAAGAAACCTTGGACCCCAAGTACTCATGTTCCTCTTTAATGGGTATAAGTTGTTCAATTCCCCCAACTTCGAGGCACAAGTGTGGTTGGCCATTTTTGATTTTTGTGATTTCATACAGCGCCTTTTTTGCCTTGCGGCCTACAAGTTTCAGCAGTACCGCGGTTTTGGAGTAGTTTATCTGCATCTTAAAGTTCTCAAGTGTACGGAATAAGATTTCGAGCTCTCTGAGAGCCTTCTTGAGGTCCTCAAGTGAGTGCAGCAACCAACTGGTCCAGCAATCATCGGCAAACAAAGTCAGGACTCTGTCTATCCATCCCGTCGGGAGCTGGCGTTCAAGAGAGTCCATGAGTGCCAAGGTGTACCAAATCCAAAGACACGGGGCCACTTTACAACCCTGTTTAAGACCATTTGACGGCACAAAGTTTGCCTGATGGTCGCCCGCTTGGTATCGGAATTTGGATCCGCTGTGCAGCCGGTGGACAACATCCACGACCTCCGGAGGAACACCGTAGTCCCGCAGTGCTTGAAACAAGCGTGGTCTGTCCGTGAGGTCAAAAGCTCTGCTTAAGTCAAGGGAAAGACTTAGGGCACCTCCAAAGGCCATGGGGTGGCGGCCTTCATACCGACCGATTCTGGTGACCTGGCTGGACTGAAAAAGCCGCGCTGCATCCTCGACGTGCTTGTGTATGCGAAACAAGGCATCCATGGTGCCTCTTCCCGGTACATAGGCGAACTGAGGCCTGTCGCGGAGCAGGGGGAGCTGTAATTCATGCATGCGGTGGCGCAGGATGCCTGCTAATGACTTAGAGACAGGTGCCATGAGACCGATTGGTCGCAGATTTGCTATGATGTGTTCCGGCTTATTGGGCTTAGGGATCATGGCCATGGAAGCGTCGGTGAGGTCTCCTTGGAGAAGGGCAGGGTGCCCGCACTGAAAGTGAAGACGGAAAGCCTCACCGAACAATGGTCCGAGCAAATCCGCGCACAGCTTCCAGACCCCCGCAGGCGCAATATGCTGAGGCACGGCCTTGGTGGCCTTGATGCTTCCAAGCTGTGCCGTGACCTCTGAATCCGCGAT